GAAGTGACCTACTTAAATTTTAAATTTATGAAATATTGTGAAGACTATTTGTTGTTGCAAATTATTATCTAATGCATGGGCTGCAAAGGTCAAAATAACATTTGTGCTCTACGACAACACGTCAGCATTGTGCATCTCTTTAATTGTTTGTATGCAATTCTAAGATCCGCCTTTAGCGATTCTTTAAAGACACGGTAAATGTTGTCAAAACTGGTAGACCACTTTCTTGGCCGACCGTACCACGATTAGGCATTATCTGACGTGTGCTTTGCATATTTCAACTATAATACCTCTAGCTCAAAATGCTACAGTTTAAATAATACGACATAACCTCAAAAACAATTTACACAATTATTCGATACTCCCAGCTTTTAAAAATATATTGAATGTCTTTATTTGTTCTAGTTGCATAGGCAAACAAAATAACATATGTTTCATCAAATTACGTTTTATTCGATTTTACTAGTCCAAGCATGTTAGGCAGATGGCCATTGTTCTTTACCTCGACGATGATGTGCTTCCCCGCAAAAATGTAAATGGAATTATCCTAATCAATGGTGGAGAGGGCATAAAATTATATATCCACATTTGGCACAACTATAGATGACCAAATGCAACATAGATGCAACTTCTGTCCCATGCGAACGTCTATTCTCAAATCAGGTCTTGTTATTAGTATGAGAAGATGTCGGCTGATGACCAAAAAAGTTGAACAGCTTGCTTTTTGGACCTAATTTTTAAAATGACTCGGAAGAAAAAATATATAATATAATATTCTATAAATAATCAAAGAAATCATTGTAATTATGTAAATTTTTAAATGCACAAGAAATGAATGAATGTTATATGACATCATACGTTGAGTAATTTTATTCTGCTAGTCGTAAGCCTAGTACAAGCATGAAAGAAAATCGACATAATTTTATTGTGAACAAACGCTAACATCACGATATATATAGATTTTAAGTATCTATATCCTAGGTACGTTTTGAATATATCGTTTGTTTATCTAAATAGTCCACAACCATTCCTTGGTATCGATATCTAAAAACGGTTTTCAATATCGATATCAATACTTGATATCGTTTTTTTTTTTTCATTTTTATCGGAATCGTTGGCAAAGTTTTCGACTTCCACAAGTCCTATGTAACAGCCTAGACTGAATTGATTTTGATATTTATATTAATATCATTCGACGTATGGATGCATAATGGCATATATGGAATACTGCTCATAAAAAAAAACAAGCTGGATTATGCGCTCTTTTTTTGTTCTCCATCCCATTCTGAATTCCGATGAATCGAGTCAATTGAAGTTACGAGAAACCAATAAGTTAGTTCATCACTAATATTGATCGTTCCTCTACACGTAATATAATAAATAAATTAAACTTACGATTCGAATAAATTAAAAATAATTTGAAGTCAGATATTATAAGAAACACGAATCTTAGTCATATTTAATAAAATTCGATACTCAATTTACTTTTATTATGTCAGAAAGATAATTTGAATGAATATCATAGACAATTATCCGAATATCGCTAGTGACATCTAGTTTGATTTCAAGAACTAATTTTTATTTTTTAAATACTTCCTCAATCTTACGAATTAACCGTAGACAACTAATCTAATTTAACCAATAAAATCTAGTAACTAATCCTAAAACTTATAAAATATAGTAACTAATCCTTAATCTGTGGTCTTGTCCACAAATAGAGGAGAAACAACGGCTTAAAATTTTAAGCGTTGTTACAATTTTTAATAAGCGTTTTTAAAAAAAGCTTATTGTTAAAACGCTTTTTCTTCAACTGACGTTTGGAAATCGTCATAATAAGCGTGCAACGTTGTGTTGTAGTTATTTATGAAACTAACTTGCTTTGACTAAAATAAATAAAATTAAAATTATTTTCAAAGTTAAGAGAACAAGTCCAAGTAAAAGAAAATTGTTGTAAGTAAACAATATTAATAACATCTAATTTTTTATTGTACTTTATTTCAATCAATAAATTTTCTTACGTACTTGATCACAGACTTAGATTTTTGTCAGGAATCAATATTATAAAGTTTAACTTTAAATTTACGCAATGAATTAACTTTCAACACAACGCCTACTCCGACAACGAAAAGCGTACTAGTTTTTTTAAGTTCCGTTTAAAAAAGCGTCTTTATCAACCAACCAAAAAAGTTGTTGCAAAAAAGTCTAGATGGATATTACGCTTAATAGTATTGTAAAGAACACCAAGCCACGCCGCAACAACAATGCCACCAACGGAAAAACAAAGCAACCTTCCCCTCCCCGCGCGGTGCGGGGTAGCGATCCCCACTCTAAGGAATCTTATTAGACTAACTGATTTATGTATGAGCTAAGTGTGATCAATCAAATTGTATGTAGGAAATCGATTTTGTGCAATAAAGCATGTTCTGCCTTCGAACGTTCTCCGAGTTTCTCCGAACCAAGAGTGTTATCAGTGTTACTCGAAACCCCTGCTACCTGCCCGCCTTCATATACAGTCTATCAGCTACAAGTATACAGAGCATTTATGTAAAGTGCTGCCCTTTAATAGAAAAATGCCGATATAGAATTCATTATGATCGACAAACTACGGATGATCGATATTAGAAAGACATCGATGTCATTCTCGTAAGCCCAACATCGATGTTCGATATTTTTACGAAAACTGAACAAATTTATTTTATGTAAAAAATTACAAAGAAATAAAATACAGTGAATCTTTCAAAATTCATTAGGAAACAGAACAAACCATTACATATTCCAATATTTTATATCAACTGACTGAAGAAAAACTAATTTTGGTAGGAAAGAACCTTTTAATCTATTTCTTTATTGATAAAGAGTCAAACAAACCAACTTTTCTAGACATAAATCTAAATATGTATTTCAAGATGTGTTCCTGGGGAGTACTATTTATATTTAATATGATGTAAATAAAATCATATGCCTAGATCAAATATTTTCGGAGACATTAAAATTTCAAAGTTTAAAAAAAAATATTGTTTTCAACCCTAAGTCAGCTGTTATTGGGACATACTAAAGAAAATTTTTTAATCGGTCATTGACTTCTTCATTTCTAAAAACGATACAAACTATTTTGCGATTTATAAGACCGCTTTCATGCAAACTCTACCAGACAATCAATAAACAAGACAGACAGTCAAAATGCTTAAATCGATTTACAGACTAACAGCCGGTTTCTGATTCGAAAAAAGTAGAATCTGCTGCTTATTCTCAATAACCTAACTATTTTTAATTTCACAAGTTAAATAGTCCTTGTTTTATCAAACTGCTATCAACTGATCATCAAAAAACTAAAATAAGAAACGAAAACTAAGTGATGTTAGCTTGAGACGTTTAACTTTAAAATCTCAATTCAGAAACCAAGTGTAAAATTTTCTAAATTGTTGTAGAGAGATCAATCTAACATTAACCTACGTTATTTTAAAAGAGCAGTTCTCCAAAAAAATTGTTTGAATGGGGTAATACTCTTTTAACAAACGGGAACTTTAATTAAATTCGTTAAACTCACAAATCTTTCAGCGATTCATCACTAACACAAATGTACTTTGTTTTAAAAACATCGAGGTATTTGTTATTAAAATAGTATTTTAGTGATTGCATTTAAAAAGAACATTATAAAATGCGTGATATCAAAAGAAGAAATAAAAAAAGGTGAACTGAGTTCGACCCTGGATTAAAGCCCCACCCGCCCGACAACCACCACCCCGCTTCATTGTTCTGTCGGGGATTCCCTTGCTTAGTCGTATAAAATAATAGTATAACTCCTAACGGAGCTCAGTCACCGCCGATCGTTTGCACTGGAGTGCCTTTGCGCATCGCCGCCGACGCACCGCTGCGAAGCGCCTTTTCTTCGATTTTTGTTTTTTTCTAGTGTATTTTTAATTAGATTTTTGATAATAAGATACTACAGTGTTCGTCTTGAGTTTTTATTGTAGTTTAGTAAAGATTGTGTTTAGTTTTGTGTGAAATGTGATGTGTTTTGCGCGTGCATGCACCGGCATGCAAAAATCGTGCTTAGCTCAGTCTTCAGAAAGGAAATGGACATTATCAGCATCTACTATCGTTGTTATCTGCACACAATCGATATTGCGCATGCGCGTTATAGTGCTCTCAACACATAGAAATTAGAAAATTTTTATACCTTCTTTATTTTGAAATATTTGTCAAATCAAATGATGTTTGCATGTAACCTGACTTGAAACTTTCAGCTTAGTCGGTCATTTTGTGGCTCCCCGTATATTACATACACAAAAATTCGGGTTGCTTTTTATTAAAATTACGATGTTTTCGGTAATATCGATTAATTTTAATTGATTTTAATAATACCAAACATAATTTAAATAATGCATTGGTCTTGCGTGAGTTAACATTAATGATTGATTTGGTTAACATCGATGTTAAGACATTGATTTAAGAAATTGAAAAATACATTGATTAAAAAAAAATAAGAAATAGATTATCCCTATTTTGAAATATGAAATAAAAAAGAAGAAAAGAAGTCCCACTGAATAACTCTTAATGCTTTGTTATAAAAACGAAAACATTGTGATCCAAGGGATTCCTTTCATGAGACGAACTTTAGTTAGTTTAGCGTAAGTCATCACTCATACATGCGAAGCTACCCGACACCGAAAAAAAGATTCTTCTGGAACCTTTATACTTTCAGTGCAAAATAAAATCAGCAAGCAGTTAGTATTGTAATCTTCTTAAGGGTAACTTAATAATTCTTGTTCTCAAAATAACCTATAAAATTGTAACAATCATTTAAGTACGTTATCAGTTAATTATAGAGTACCAAAGAGCGCTGAAAATTTATTTTTAACATACTTGGAAAATGCAAACAAAGAAAAAACTATTTGTTTGGTTACTCCAGTTACGAGTGCAACCGGTGACATCTAGTGAAAAATAGTTACACTTGATATACGATATCGATGACAAAACATCGATGTTTTCTAGTTGAACATCGATGTTAAATAAACAACGATGAATATTGAGCATCCCTACCACAAACTACGGTCTTTATTGTCTGTCAGTCAGTCATTGACATGAGATTGGTGTGATATGTCGGTAAAAAATGGCAAATCGAACAGTAAAGGACGCGAAATCAATTCGGGGCACTAATCCCCAATATCTTATTGAAAAAATCATTAGGTCACGAATATACGACTCCAAATACTGGAAGGAAGAATGTTTCGCTCTAACCGCAGAACTGTTAGTCGACAAAGCTATGGAATTACGCTATGTCGGCGGTGTGCATGGTGGTTTCATTTATCCTACTCCTTTTTTATGTTTGGTGCTTAAAATGTTACAAATACAACCTGAGAAAGATATTGTAGTGGAGTTCATAAAGAACGAAGAATTTAAATACGTTCGTGCTTTAGGCGCATTTTACATGAGACTCACAGGAACCTCGGTTGATTGTTACAAATATTTGGAGCCACTTTACAATGATAACAGAAAATTAAGACGCCAAAATCGAGTTGGGCAGTATGAAATAGTGCATATGGACGAGTTTATTGATGAATTGCTGAGAGAAGAGCGTTTATGTGATGTAATTCTGCCCAGAATTCAGAAAAGGCATTTTCTGGAAGAAAATAATGAGCTTGAACCTAAAATTTCTGCCCTTGATGATGATTTAGATGATGATATGCCATCTGAAGAGGATAATCCTGAATCTGAAACCAAAGAAAATAGAAGGGATAAGGACAGAAGAGACAGGGATAGAAGAAGAGAAAGGTATGATTGTGTGGTTTATTTCTTTTTCATTTTTGAAATGGCACTTATAAGAAGTTGCAAAAATAATAGTAATTAGTATATTTTAATACTAATTACTGAGGCAATGCAGAAAATGATCTTTTCTGCATTGCCTCAGGTCTGGGTGTTATTATTTCTCTAATGCAAGCTTTAGTTATTTTAACTAATTATTCTCAATAACTTAAGTTAATATAAGTTTTATATATGTTCACAAGTTACAAAGTCATAATTTTATCAAACTGCTATCAATGGATCACTTAAAAAAATGAAATTCACAATTAAAACCTATTCAAGTGATATATATTTTGAGGCATTCTTAACTTAAAATTCTCAATTCAAAAACCAGTTGATAAACAATAGGTCAAGCTGAAAAATTAAATACACAAATAATTTTTTTATAGCACATAAAGTGTATTTTTTTAATTATATTTAGTTTTAAGGTTATGAAATATTCCCCTTCCATTTGCTACCATATAACAATAATTCTGAGACAGTATATTATGCAAGCCAAATAAGAATAGGACTATAAAATAGCCATCTTGGTTTGGGGTGTAAGGTATGCAAAAGAGGATTAATATTTTTCAGTGTAGCATTGTGAATGCGAATTGATCAAATATAATAATATTATTAATTTTTTTTATCAACTTTGTTTAACAAAATAATAAAGATTAAGTTCACAAAATAAAAAAATATTTTGTGAATTTACTTTAATTTTGGTGGTATCAGTACCAAAATAACAGTTAAGCTGACATTATTCTTATATGGCTTGCAAATGAAAAAATAATTGTCTATAGTAATCTGACTTCAGAGAAATTACTATGCCTCTATGTTACAATACATTTATAATGATATAATTTAGCCTTTAGACATTTTTATTACCTGTGTGCTAAATTTATGTCTCCTACTTTAAAATTCATTTGTATAATTTGGCAAATACTACTTTAAAAAGACACAGTAAAGAATATGTATAATTTTGTTCTTTTTTTCATAAATATTAACTAAATGAATATAGTTGAAACAGTTAAACACAACTTCCGAACTTTGTATTTACTATTGATTCACTTTGGTCATTTAAACTTGATAATATATTTTTAAGTTTATGAAAATAACATTAAGTACATAATTTTACTTATAATAATGATTCTGCCAGTTATACAAACGTTCATTTATTTAAAGCGACATTATCCATACAAATTTGACTATCATAAGAGTTTAAAGGCATCATTAAACCTTAATGGACATTTGTGAAATTGACCGGTTAACTCTAAAACTGCCATTTATCATTACAATTTTATATTGCAAATATTTTCGTTTTTGAAATTATTAAGTGACTTGTTTTTAGATCACGGGATAGAGACAGAAGAGAGAAAGATCGCAAACGTGACCGTTCCCGAAGTAGAGATAGGGAGCGCAGGCGAGAGAGAGATAGAGAACGCGAGAAGGACAGGGATAGAGAGCGAGACAGAGTAAGAGATGTGAGAGAGAGAGAACGTGATAGGGACAAAGAGAGGAGAGATAGAGATCGCCATGAAGTTGAGAGGCGACGAGACAGAGGTGGTAGATATTAAATTTTAGTGTAAGAACAATATTAAATTTATGTAATAAGATTTTCTTTTTTTTTATTCAACGCTTCTATTACCTATAAATCTTTTCTTAACATTATTCAAGACATTAAAATCTAAGTTATGCTTTGATATACATTTTAAAAAATATGATGAATCGAGAAGAAAATATGGGTGATAACTTAAAAGAGCTAATAAGTGAGACTAGGGTCAGCTGACTGATGTGTACCATTGGTGGAATTCCCGACAACAGCTTTTTGTTACCTACCATACATAACATCGTACTACATCTTTAAGATTACGATATTTTACTGTAATACCGGTGCAATTGGCAACACTGAACCACATCAGAGTGAAAGACCACAGACTAAGAAGAGAAAGGTACTATGTAAAGGACTTCTTATCTGGAAGTTGAATGACAAAATAATTTAAAAAATTTAGATTTTTCTAATTAAAAAGAAATATAGTTACTTGTTGTCGAGGATGGGTTACCTAAGCATTGGGGAGGACACAACAGCAGAAAAAAATGGAAGTATGAAATACCAAACACAAAACCCTTTCGCATACAGACCTTATATTGTTGTTTGACAAATACTAATCAGATTTCATTATTTCTGAAGAAGAAAATGACTTAAAATTAACTCTTATTTTTTTTTACCCGCGATAACGATGTCGGTCATACTCATGACGTAAAAACATATTAGAGCAGAAATTAAACGATGTCAATAAAACACGAACAATCGATTACGAAATAAAACAATATCAATAAGCTAAGAACAGCGCCATATTGGAATTTGATTCATAAATGAAATAATAGCCATATTTTTGTCTAATCTGACAGTTGTCGTTACAGTGACGTCACACAATGGTGAATCGTATTTCAAGTCACATGACTCAGACAAAAAAATCACGACTTTTAATTTTAAGATAAAATGATATAGTATAAAATTAAATTATTTGATCTTTATTCTATCGAAATGCTACGAGGGACGCATATAGTTTGTATGAAAAACCATTCTGGTACCAAAAAGATCACAATGTTACTCAAAAGAAAACTAAAAATATCAAAAAGAAATATTTAATTTAATAAATAACATTTATAAATGTAATATATTTTGTATTCATCGTAATATTTGTAAAAGATTATGTGATTTTTACACAGTTGAGGGACTTGTCCTACACTTAATCTGACAATTACCTCTATATCTGTGTCACTCCCAATGGTTTGTGTGTACTAAGTATCCCCGCAAATTGCTAATGCGCCTGGACGCCATTTTGGTGACGTTATTGTGTTCAATCATCAGAGTGGCAAGCTTTACGCTAAGGCGTTCACTAGTGAGCACGTTATGAATTTGTATGGGGATTTATAGTTCTTGGTAGTTACCGCTAGGGGCGCTGTACCAGATTCCATACTAAAATATTAACGCGCTCACTATCGACAGTGAACGTAAACGTCAAAAAACTTAAATTAGCGCTCAGTATCGTTATCAAATAAATACAAGTTGACGAGTACACTTCTTAAGTTGGGTTGTGTCGAGAGCACACACAATTTTTTTGATTGATTATCTATCTCTCATTTCATATTAAAAAAAAAACGTAATTTTCTCTAGTTATCGCGTTATTACGAAGTAAATGTTATTTTTTCATATTTTTTTTGTTTAATTTTAAAATATAAATAGACCTTTGTCGTAGTCTTGCAATAAATCAACAAAATAAAAGTTATTAAATTATTTTAACCATATCTTGGGGATAATTATTATTGAAATTTATAAATATTTCAATAATTAATAAGTAATTTATCTCTTGACTTTTTTGCTATCTATACTTTTTACTTTTACATGACGTCACGAAGGTGTTATTTAGATAAAGTTCCAGCGCCTTGGCAATTGATACTTACCTAAGTAACGACAATAAACATTTATAATTTTTAATAAGTCATGTTAAAAGTAATTTGAAATTTTGGAGATGTGGGTAAGTAATAAAGATGAAAATTTATAAGTTCAAGGTTTTTAATAATAAATAGACACCCATTATAAAAATCAAGGAGTTATCGCACTGTAAATCCAGTCAAGGTATTCATATACATTAGTATAAACAGTAGGAATATCTTCTCTCTCACATAACGAGCCGAAACTCATAACTCCTAGGGCTTCGAAGTTTCTCCCTCTGTACATTAGTGTTCCACCAGTGTCACCTCTGCAAGAGCTTTTACCTATTTCACCTCCAGCGCAAAGCTGCCCACTCGATAGTGTAATATTTTGTTGTGGAATGTTGAAATATTTTTGACAATCCTATTATAAAGATAAAGCATGTTGTATATTATTAACACTCCAACTGGTATATGCCAGACAAAAGTAGATAACACTTAAAACATTACTTAGGATATATTTGATATACCTTTTGCTTAACCAATGGTAATAAAAGATCTCTTTTGACCATGCTTTGATGTGTCGATGAGCCAATGCCCCAACCACCGACAAACAAATTAAAAACTAGTGGTTGCTTGAGCATATAATCTTGAGACGGTAGACAGATTGGACGCACATAATCTGGAAAAAAACAATATTATCCTTACAATATAATAATCATAGGTACCTACTAGGGAAATTAATATAACATATTAAAATTAAAATCACTAGTTTTGAAATAGACACAATCAATAACTACCTGAGTATTGTGCCAAATCTTTTAGCCTGATGAGTCCTATATCATGTTTTTTGGTGACAGGATCATATAGAGGGTGTGGAATTATACTTTCTACTGGTATAGTAATTGTGGCGTTCTTTGGTGCACATTCTAGATCACCAAGAAATGGATCTTTTTCATTACAATCCAATTCTTTGGTAGTGTCATATTCTCCAAGACGTACTCCTATCCTGGAAAATATTTACATACTTATTGAAATGTCAATCTTTGAAAACAAAAGATTTCTTGTCTTTTTATGATTAACCGGGGTGTCACAGGAAACGGAATGCGGGCGTTACAGAAAGATCCTATGAAAATGAGCTTGAAAATGCTTATTGATCCTATGATAAACTCAAATCCTTTGTTTAACTGTCAGAAGGTATATTTTAGTACTAATCAATGCAAATCATATTTAAGATGATTAAGAATTGTTTAAGTATAAACAATAGCACGTTAAACTTACGGTGTTCCTTGCGATAGTACCGATCCAGCAATACAATGAGCAGCAGTCAGAACATACTTTCCACTGATGAGGGAACCTCCACATAATAGTTTAATCTTGTTATTTACTTGATACTCTATAAGTGCCATCCATGGATACTGGTCAATATTAGTACCTGATATTCGGCCACCTGAAATAAATGGTTTCCTCTAAAGTTTCCAAAGATGTGTAAGTACTTGGGTATGTATTATAAATATTTTTTATTAATTTGTAAAACATATCGAGAAATAATATAAACATATTTCATGTGTTAAAATTATGATTCAGTCAAAAATCTTGGGACGGGATTTTTCTTTTTACCCGACTGCGCGACTCAAAGAAGGGTAATGTGTTTATCAGTCTATGTATGTATGTTTGTTTCTATGTGGCGTTCTAGAGACCAAATGCGTCTGCCGATTTTAATGATTCTTACGTCACGATTCGTCTTAACTTTGCGAGTGTCACTAAAGACATGACACAAAATTCACCACAGCGACAACAAGACGCCATATTGTCAAAATGAAAAAAAAAATCGTCGAAATATGTCAAGTGGGGTGTCGTTGAATAGGTATTTTAAAATCAGGCAGGCCCATTAAAACTTTTACCATTCAAATCTTTACCACTCAAATCTTCCCAAGGGGCCCCGACTATGAGTCGTTCTGTTATGCATTAGAATTTATGATTTGTTTTATGTGTATGTCTTTTATTGTGTAGTTATTTAGTATTACTTAACAGAATTCTAAACTATTGGGCCTGTTTCTTTCTTGTTAGTTTTTATTTAAGTTAATCTTTTCATGTATTTTTTAAATTTCGTTTTTACGCAGTTGGGCTTTTTGTTTTTTTTTTTAATTATTTATTTTTGACGACCTGAATTAACCGTGCAAGCATCATACCAATTATTGAAGTCCCAAATATATTCTATACTATACGTGTACAATACCTACTTACCGCCATGCGAAAATTTTATTTCAGTCGCACCATCTGTACCACAGCAATTGCTGTTCGGCGGATATGGGAATGCACTAATGCTGATTCCACATTTTTCTTTAGATATTTTATTATCGTGTGGAGAAGGTCCACAACAAATACTCTCAGAGTCAGAACCAAGCCAAGCCAAGCATCTGAAAAATGTATGCTTGTTAAAATAAGCAGGTAATATAACAGGTTAAAATTAAAAATATGTTATTCACATTTTATAGAACTTAAATTATAGGATACTTTTACTACCTTTTCGCTTGAGAATTTTTAGGTAAGTGAGGACATGATTCTCTATTAACACATATCCCTTGCTCCCCTTCTAATGTCAAGCATGAACTAGGACAGCATACCTATTCAACAGATACAATAAATATGCCTTATAATTTAAAACTAAAAATAATGAATACAATAACAAAAACAAAACTAAAACTCCTTATCACTCATATTACTAACATAATTAGATCCACTTTTGTTATTTATTATGCTATAATCAAATAATAACTATTACAGAATCATATTAAGGCAGAATATAAGTACTCTACCTATTTCTATATCAGAAAGAACTGGTTTGCTATCTTAGAAATAAAATTATTATGTGCCATAAAGCAAGTACCAAATAAATAGTCTTAAGTTTCTGCCCACTTTTCTTGTAAACGAAATGGATGGTTGGAGATCAGTAAGAAAGCAATAACTTCCGTGGCCAAGTGGTTCACACGGCGGTTTCACGGTATCGCCATCTCCGAGGTTTTTTATATTGCTTCGGTAATACTTATTTTCGTTATGAAACTTAGCAAAGTGCGTGATATTGTCTAATATTTATTAATTTATTTGTGCATTTCGTTATAAGGCATTTTTAACCGACTTCAAAATCGAAAAGGAGGAGGTTATATGTTCGACGGCGTTGTATGATTTTTTATATATGTTCACCGACATTTTCATCAATTGTTGACCGATTTTTTATTCGACAGCTTAATGGATCATGGTGGTCCCATTTAAATTTTATCGAAATAGAGTAAGTTATTTTCTTTTTATATCAAAACAAAATACTCTTTCCAACAGATATCATTTAGGTAAATATTAAGATGATATGTTATGACATGGCCCATTTGAGTTAAAAAACACAAGATTGTATTTAGAATTCATTCAAAATCTGAAAGGATCGATTTCTTCTATCAGACTACAATAATTATGTAGCTTCCCGTAGATGAAAGACTTTTATAAATCGGTTCAATAGTTTCGGGACCTATTCAATGCAAACAAACAAGCAATCAAATCATTTCTCTTTAAAATATGAATATAGGTTAATGGAAAAAATATGTCGAGCAAATAAACAAAATCTTCTATTCTAAGACTTTCACTTTGTTAAATATTTTTATTTATAGAGTTATATCACTAAAAAGTATGAAATAGAAACTTTTTATAAAAAGTAGAATGGACTTCAAACTTAAAAAAGTGATCACTTTTTTAAGTTTGAAGTTGTATATAGGTATATATATATGTAAATAATACTTATCTTAAACGCGACTTATTCACGAAAATGCTTTTGTAGTCCTACCCTACTACTTATATGTATTAGGGAAATCTGAAAGAACGAAAGTACCACAACGCCCAGACTCAATACAATAAAAAAAAATCTACATTGACCCGACCGGGAATCGAACACATGTTAAAAATTACCTAAGCATGTATTACTTATAAAAGAAGTCACCTATTATACCTTCGGTTTATTTCCCTCAAAACCACAGCTAGAATTCTGCAACAATTCTAGTTCTTGTTCTGTTCTTTGCTCATTGCGCACTAAATCTGCTAAATAGGGACATCCAAATATTTGCACACAATTTCCTTTACTACCATCGGGTAGATCACAAGGTTCTAAAAATATAAAAGAAACAAATAATTGTAGTTTGATTACTCGAATTACAAAAATTTATTCATTTAAATATTCACGAGACTCACCTCCATTAACTGTTATAAACACAAAAATGTACACTATAAACTTCATATTTTCCCCGTTATTTATTTTATTCGTAAACAACTTTAAAAATTTAAAAATACGACACCAGAAGTTCTCCGTTAGAATATAGCGTTGGAACTATTTGAGATCAAATGAATAAATATCCATAAGTATTAACTTGTGTATGCAATGGAATTCTAATTAATCCAGTTTCATATTCACTTGCTCTCTAAGCACATACCAGTTTGCGCGTTTAAATATATGCCCGTTCAATTTGTTTTTTCTTTGTATTCGGGTTTTTAACAAACGTAAAAGTGATTCATACCGTAATAGGGAAAAAGCTGGTCGTTTGATGTCACTGTGTACCATAGAATTTACAGTATAAATAAGTCATCATAAGTATTATATTTTATAATTTCATTAATAAATGTAAACTGTTAGTTTTAATATCTTATAGAAAAATATCAATATAGTACTGTGAGTATATTTAGCTTTATTATTTTCAAGATTAGTGCCGTCACCCGGGTCGGGGTGTGGATGATTGCATCCAAATTGCGTTTATTTTATAATACAGGTGACCCCTACTGTTATAAAATAAATGCAATTTTGATTGAATTACGTAACACTTGCAAATTTTCGCAATACAAACAAACGACCTAAGTTCACCGGCCACGGAGCCACAATAGGGAATATGCGCCTGATTAAAAAATGTGTTAAATATATTTTCTTACGAACATTATAACTTTACTTTCAGGAAAATAATGATTAAAAAGTGCAAAAAATTGCAGTAAATTGAAAATACTCAAACGCCATACTCATAGAGAACCTGGGCCATACATACTATTTGTCAGAGCGGTTGTTACGAAAATACAGGTATAAGGATGCGCTGGAACCGTGTCTAAATAACTCCGGTTTAAAGACATATGAAAAAAGAAAGTATAGATAGCACAAAAGGCAAAGGATAAATTATTTATTAATTATTGAAATATTTATGAATAACCCTGATGTGTCCTATGTCTTTCAGAGACACAATTATCACTGTGATCAAATAAAAAGTTATGAAACTGTGATTTACTGCTCTTTATTAATTTAATCACAAATAAAATCATTTAACAAATGCAGGCCTAGTGTTGTCTAAATCACGTCCAAATGGAGAAGGAAGAAGGCCGTGTTGCCATCGTTCAAAAAGGTTTTTGAGATGCCATATAAAACATAGAAGGGGTGATACATAACAAACCCCCAAAAGATTATTAGGATAATTTAATAACTTTTCTTATGTTAATTTATTGCATGAATTTTTGGAAAAGAATCAATTTATATGTAAATTTTAAGGTATAATAATGGTATAATAAAATAAAATATTAAAAAACACATTTACTTACTATGAAAGGACATTTTTTTAAACAAAATCAAAAGTAAAAATGAAATGAGAGGCATTAGATATATTTATTATTAATGAAATTATGTATGTTTACTTATTGTGAAAATCATAATAGCAGTTGCTATTTTTTTCAACCATAACAAGTAACAACAAAACTTAACAATAACAATAGAAACTAACAGGAAATTAACTCAAATGTTGTGTGATCTGAACAGAAACCACCTCAATAAGTGTTTACGACCAGTGTTTATTTTTTAGCGGTACTGGTTTTTGAACGCAATTACGTCGTCAATGTTAACTTTTTGTATAATCCTCATAAATGAGGAAGTATTAAAAACAATAGTTCCCGAAATCAAACTAGATGTCGCTACGGTACGTTCTTGATTTCTTTCATGTTTAAAAGTAAATTAGTTTTCAAAACTCAGTAAACAACTCATATATATATTTTTTTTGTATTTGTATCGAACTTTTCGAATTTCAGTTATTTAATATACACACGCAACTAATAAAAGGTGGTGTTTACCTGCATATGACGTCATACATAAACAGGAAGCTGTTATGTCCAAACAATGTTATTAGAGATACGCAAAATGTTTAAACATACAATTTTTAGCTCATTTTATAAACAAAGCCAGAGTAGATACAAATATAAAACAAAACATTATTATATAATGCAGCGTTTTAGCGCGATTTTGGCTATGTAAACTTTAAGAATAATTTTCATGGAAAATAGCAATGATTCCCATGAAATATAACATATTTAAGTTTAAAATGTATCAAACAACCATTTAAAATAGTTTTCATAAAAGTTTCAAACACTGCATGCTACCGCTACCTTGACTACAGCAATTTTGGCGATGATCGTGCACATATCCACACAATCGCTGATCACTATTTGTTCGCGGTACAGAGAGGACGAGTGCTCATTTACCCGTAATCGATGCTATCTACCTAAAATGTTGTCTGAAAAAGACCTTTAATGAACAATTTAATTTGAATTCCTAAAAAAATAACAGAAAAGTAACCGAACATGGAATGTAATCCCTTATATACAATATAGAAATTCTTTCTCAAAATATTTCTAATTAATGAGAATTTCTAGATTTTTGCAATCGGTTTACGAAGTCGCTTGGCTTATTTTAAAGTGTTATCAAATCTCTATAAATAATAATTTAGAAAGTAATTTCAGAATTCCTTTATTTATTCAAATCCGTATGTGTTTGGTTATTTTCTTGATGTAATTCTTTAATTAGATTAGTATGATTATAACTTCCATCCCCAAAACATAAAATGAATTGTAAAACTAGATTAAGATTAAAAAATAAAATATACTCATTGTTTTATTTTCAATACTAAATTTACCAATAATCTGTCGAACTTATACCTAAATAAATCACAAGTATTACCAACATGTAGGCTTTTTCAGTGCCATAATAACATAAACTTTCAAAAAAATCGACTGCTACTGTTTCGACGTCCATATAGTACAAATACGTACATTATAAAAAGTACGTATTATCATCTACGAGGGTCAAACTGAAAGTTCTTAGAAAATCAAAAACTGATTACATTAGCCAGTTATTAGTTTTATTATATCTTTTCAAAATATTGTCCATTCACGTCAATACACCGCTGCATGCGATGGAACCACTGGGAAAAGCACTTTGCCCACTCGTCCTTAGGGGTCTCTTCAATGGCATCGCGATACGCAGCCACCGCTTCTTCAGCATTCAGAAACCGCTTTCCTTTAAGTTTTTCTTTAATTTTTGGAAATAAATAAAAATCACAAGGCGCGAGGTCGGGGCTATACGGCGGGTGACCCAGTAATTCAACGTTTGATGTCGCCAAATAGTCGATCGTTCGCTTGGCGGTGTGCGACGAGGCGTTGTCGTGGTGAAGGAGGATCCTACTGCGAGGTCGTTTCTCTCGAACTTTTTCCAAGACAAGTGGCAAACAATTGGTAGTGTACCATTCTGCAGAAACTGTTTTTTGATCCTCTAACACAATTGTTGCAAAATGACCTATCCTTCCAAAGAACGAGGCCACCATTTTTTTTCCAGCACTTCGATCTCTCTTCACTTTAGTTGGCAACTCCTCGAAAGGAAACACCCACTGAGCAGATTGTCTTTTGGTTTTAGGATCATAACAGTAAATCCAGCTTTCGTCACCTGTTAGTATGTCGAACACAGCATTTGAGTCACCTCCGTTAAATCTTTCAATCATTTTACGACACCAATCCACACGATGGAGTTTTTGAGCCTCAGTCAAATTATGAGGTATCCACCGGGCGCAAAGCTTCCTGACCGCTAAATGTTCGTGGAGGATTTTGTGCACTTGACTCATACCGATGCCTAAGCTTGTCCGAATCTGTTGATAGGTCACTCTTTTGTCAGTCTCTATCATACGCCGCACAACACAGATGTTATCTTCAGTCGTCGCCGTAGAAGGCCGTCCCTCACGTAAATCATCAGTGAGATTAGTGCGACCACGTTTAAACTCATTAAACCAGTTGTAAACAGTCGCACGAGATGGGGCTTCATCGTGAAAGGCCAATCGTAGTCTATCATAACTTTCTTGTTGACTTAAATGACATCGAAAGTCATAAAAAATCATTGCACGAAAATTTTCTCGTGTTAAATTCATGATGACGTGACACAGACAATTTTCAATTTGCCGCCAAATCGTAAAACAAATGACAAATGAATGAAATATATACTCAGTAATATTGGCAAAGAGTTATATTTTCAAATTTTAGAATTATTTTTTTATTATATTGTTTATAAGTGGCCAGTTCTAAGAACTTTCAGTTTGACCCTCGTATTAACCATCATCGGTAACCATCATGATAGCACGAGCAGCACCACAGAACATGGAAAAGAGATTCTGTGAGTAGCACGTAGTGATGTAGTAAAACCATAGTAAAACGTAGTTACCCGTATTATGTATTATCTATGAACGTAGCGTTTTCTCTTTGGTCATGGGCGATAGAGGACTCATAAAGTTTAATCGGACTGTCTTTATGTCAATTTTAAAATAATCCAATGTTGTGTTTTAATTTTTTTCTATTTATTTTATTATTAAACTGGCTATGAATTTTTAAAATGTCAAATATTGTGAATAGTCAAGGTGCTAAAGCTGGTTGTATTTACAGGATTGCACTAGAAAACTTTGTGTGAGTTTGTGTAATATTTTGCGCGCCTTTTTTATTATTACATTTCACTTTTTACTTTAAATTTATTTTATTTTATCAGCACATACAAGCAAGTCGAATTGTATCCTGGAACATCCTTAAATGTAATAATCGGACCTAATGGCACTGGCAAATCAACCTTTGTTTGTGCCATAATTTTGGGACTTTGTGGCAAAACCAGTGTTATTGGTAGAGCAAAAAAGGTTGGTATATCATTATTCTCCCTGAGAAATATTAATAGGTACATATTTATAAAGTAATCTTTAGTCTGAATATTATTTTCCCAAAATCATCAGAAAAATTTAAAAGACTTCAAAAGCAAATTTTTACTTAGATGTATACTTTTGTTTTATATACATCCAAAGAAGCTATTTTCATTTTGTGTCCTCTAAAGTATAATAATAATGTTACCTCATAAAAAAGCTAGAGAAAGACAAAAGTTAAAGTAAAACTGAAGAGGTTGTATTCTGTAGTGGTTGCTTCGGCACTCTACGTCCTGAATATTTATTGGTTATGAAATTTGCTGGTATTTAAGTAACCACAAGGCTTCATAGGAAATAGGAGCCTCCAAGAAATACCATAAGTTTGTTATTGTTTATTTACTTGTAAATTACTCAAATGTAACTAATTTTATTGGAATGCCTTTAATAAGAAAAATATGTATAATTACAGATCTCAGACTATGTCAGAAGTGGTTGCCAGTCAGCCACCATCGAGATTGAACTGTACCAACAGCCAGGACAAAGGAATGTTATTATCACCAGGAATTTTAACCTAAAAGATGTGTCAACATGGTCTATTGATCACAAGTCTGTTAGAGAAAAACAAGTGCTTGAACTAATAACATCAATGAATATTCAAGTAAGATCTTAATCCTCCATTGTTAGTTGGTTATGTTTTTTTTTTAATTTTTTTTGGTATTTGTTTAACCTAATGCAAAGTACCTATCTTGTGTGCTCTTCCAAAAAGTCTCAATCAATTCTGTTGATGAAATACTTATTTACTTCAGAGCTTCTGCATCACATTTTTATTCTGCGTGGATATACTTATAGCAGTAAAACAACTGGCCAAGTGCGAGTCGAAATCTATGAAAAAATGCAAGAAATCACTTGTAGTCTGGGAGCCTCCTTTAAATATTTCAAACATGGTTCATAGAGCCTTGTGACAGATAGATAGACAGCAGAGTCTTAGTAATAGGATCTCATTTTACCCTTTGGCATGGAACCCTATGAAGATGCACAGAAATCTTCATTCTTTGTAATTTATTGTGTATACTTGTATATAAAATATGTATTACAGAGATATGAACAATATTGTCTGTTCATACATGATGCAGGCTGTGTTTACTTTAATCAAACCACAGACCGCAGTACGCATCCAGTGCACACCCACTACACACACACACACACACACACACATACACACACACACACACAAGATGGTTACACATAAGATGCTTACATTTAATTTTTAGTGCAATAACTGTCGAGGGTACGGGTGTGATATTCTAAAATACAAGCAAAATATTGCCTAGTTTAAATTTCAGTCTCCTACAAACTATGTTAATGATTATTCTAAGCACATTGTTTAAGTGAAAAAGTTTGTGGTGAAAATAAAAAAATAAAGTGTTAGACTGAGATCTCACAGAGCTACACACTTGTTTCATTTTAAAACTCGTTTTTTATGGTAGCCCTCAAAGTGAGCGGGAGAATATCGAAAATCTTTCAGTAACATCAGCTGTAGTTTTGTTTAACTTAACAGTGCCCGCTAACCAGTCACAGAGTGCACTCCTGCAACTGCAGTGGACTAAGATTGCTCTGTGATTTCACATTTTTATAAATTATTAAAATGCAATGCAAGACTCATGTAATAGATCACTAAATATTTCTGTAATGTTTCTATTGTGTATTTGATTATTATATTGACAGAGGTAAATATCACAGTATGTGTGGGTACTTGAATAATAAAGTAGTTATGCTTTGATAATTAAGTGTAGTTTCTTTTAGTTTCCATTAATGTTGATTTATCACGGATTTGAAAAGCAACTATAATTTTTTAAAATTGTTCTTTAAAGGTTGACAACCTCTGCCAACTTTTGCCACAAGATCGGGTCCAGGACTTCTCTAAAATGGACCCCCAACAACTATTACGTAGCACATTGTCAGCTGTGGGAGGGCAAGAGAGTGTATTGCAGCTTGAACAATTAATAGAGTGTAGGAACCAACAAAGGGGGCTCTCAACCAAGTTGCAGAATAATGCCCAGTTATTGCAAGAGCAAATAAGATTGAATGAAAGGTAAGTGATAATGGTTCCACATTTAAATGACAATCTTGATAGATGCATTGACTTATTAGCAAAAGAGTAAACAGACATGTAAATCATATTAATATTTGTTAAGTAACTAAGAGGGATAGTTGAACTTTACTTTACTTGATTGATGAACTTTAGTACAGTCCTACCTATCTTAGCTAAGCCTTTATTTTGCTATAGCATGGGGCAGATAGAACATTAGTAAAGTTGTTGCTAGAACAGCTTTGATATTAAAAAATTACAATTAGCCCATCTGTGGGATCTATTCCATAACTGATTGAACTTTTTGATGCTGTCATTGAATTTAAAACTCCTAATGCATAATTAAAATTGAAGCTACCATGAGGAATGTGTGCATGAGATTTGCTTGATGTGTGATCTTCAACTTGTCATGTAAATTAAGAAAACTTTCCAGACCAGACCAGAATCAATTTGAAATTCAAGTAAACAAGAAATTGATTTTATGAATATGATCGTTTTGAAAAATTGACACTATAAGAAATATCTAATATTTTTTCCAGGCTTAAAGTGTTAATAGATGCTATGCAGCAAAGGAAACAAATAGAAAAACAAATTGAGATCTGTGAAAAGAAAAAACTTTGGTTAGAGTACAAAGAACTGAAAGACAAAGTCACAGAGTACATAAATGATAAGAAAGAGGCAGTGAAACTTGTGAATTCTCATAAAAGTAAAATGGAACCATTGGAAAGAGTTATAGAAGGAGCAAAGAAAGGAATAAGTAAATTGGAACAGCAGAAGTTAAGCTCTGTGAGTATTAATAAGTTTTGTTTAATGACAGACTAAACTGACTGTACAAACCTTTTTCTCTTTAACTGCTTTAATAACTCCTGCAAAGCACTCATAAAATTGTATCTACTTTTGTATATATTGTATATAATATAAACTTTTGTATATAAAATTGTATATATTTTTGTTATTATTTATTGAGTGATATTCAAGTGACAAAAGTCAGTGAGGCATTTAATTTATTAATGCGCTTTGAATACTAACACAAATGCTTGGAAATCATGACTTGATCATTTCAGTGTCGATAAAAAAAATCTTTGGTGTAATTGTGTATTTATTAATTTGTGTATCTATTTTATATGTTTGAGTGCGTCAAATGTGTGGTGGTGTGTTATATTTTTAGATTGTTATGTCGTTAGAATTTTGCACTCTACTCTCTAAACTTTTACTGTGATAATTTTTATCCTTTTTAGTCTCTCCATTTTCTTCCTTCCTATTAATTTTCAGACTAGGGAAATTCACACACTGAAAGACCGTGTAAAGGAAACTACTCGAGCTGTGACAGAACATGAGTACAAGATAAAGGAAATAGAGTCATCCTATCAGGAGAAACTCGATCGATACAAAAATAGGGAACGAGAACTAATAGAAGCTAAAGCTAAACTGGAGAAGTTGATCACTGATCGGACCAAGCTTGTGGAGAAAGTTGGTGATGGTAAGATTGAAGTATAACTAAAGCATCTAATTTTTTCGAATGGTAACTAAAAACTTATTTTGGATAAAATATTACATAAATGAATAGTTTTGCACAAAAAAATATTTTTTTATAATTAGTTTAATTATTACTATTACTTATTTATATTCATTTTACATTAAGTTGGTGTATATTTTAAAACCTTTGATTTTCATTTACAGAGAATCAAGTGAAGATGGAATTAGCTGAGTTACATAAACCGATAATGAAAACTAATGCTGCCTTAGATAATCTTAAAAAACAAAAACTGGAGGTTCAATATGACTTGGAAAATAACATTACACCCCAAATAAGATTATATGAAAACAGGTAACTATATATCTTATAAAATATTTGATTTAGTAGATTATCTAACTGTTGCAGTGTTTATAATTATAAACATGTCATAATTCTAATCCTTTTAACCAAGTTAACAGCATAACACGAAATTATTATGACATAATATCACTGAAAATGAAATGAATTCTTTCGTCTTAGAATCCGTCAACTAGAAGATATAGATGTGAAACGATTGGAAGTACTTCGGTCGTACAGTGAGGATTGTTACAAAGCTGTAATGTGGTTTAGAGAAAACAAGGATATGTTTCAAGAACCCGTATATGAGCCTATGATGCTTGAGGTGAGAATATATGTTTTGTTGCGTTTTATATTATTAATATCATAAAAATGTCATATTTTTATATTTGGTACCTTTTCATGAAATAATGATCGTTGCGTTGCAATTACAGGCGTCATTAAAAACCTAGATCAGTGTTTATAAACCTGTGGTACTCGACCCCTAGGGATCGTAGAACTTTACTCAGGGGGTCGCTTGAAAAGAAGAATGGCATATATAGTATTTTAATAATATTTCTGGTTTTTGTCTTTCTATAGCCCAAGGGGGTCGGCAGAATTTTTCAGCCTGGAAAAGGGTTATGTGCTTGTGTATTCAAAAATAACATATATTTTAAAAAGTTTGAAAAGTTCTGTATATCAGTGTTTTTTAAACTACTAAATAATTACTATGACTATAATGATTAAATCAACATAAAAATCTATTTAGTCTGTCAGTCAGATACTAGAAAAATATTAGTAACAGATTTTATTTTACTTCAATTTTACAAGAAATAACTTAGATAATAGGCATTAAAGTTGACGAGTGGGGTCTTGCTACGTCACAGTTTTGTAGAAAATGTACAAAACCGTGATGTCATGTGAAAATTTGACGTAATTTAATGATTATACAAACAATAAAAAAATAGGTGTTAATTATTCTCCAACAATCTACCTGATGGACAAACATAAAAAAAAATTAAGTCGTTATCCCTATTCATATTATTTCAATAAAGTCAAAATTTGTTTGTAGATAAACTTCACAGACCCTAAGTTCGCACGATATCTAGAGTCTACAATAGCAGCCCGCGATCTGGTCGCGTTCACGTTCGAATCTAGTCGCGACATGAACGTGTTTATGCAGAAGGTGCGCGTAGAAACGGGACTTAAACGTGTCAACGCCATCTGCAGTCCGCCGGGGAGAAACAATCCGCCCCGGAACGATATACAACAACTCAGGTGATATATACTTTATATAATTTTACTTATAGACTGAGAGCTCATGACAAAAATGTACAAGAGCTTTCTAAAGCTTGATATTTCTGTATACTGAAATACTAAGGGCATATATACATCACTCAGTACCCAGTGCGGAGGTCAGATGATGGCGCGCGTTGAAGAATGTAAAATAGGAACATAATTCTAAATGACAAAATAGTTAAAAATTTGCGGCCAGCTTGTTTTTAATATGAGAAAAACATTATGTAATGCTCATAGAGCATAATTGTGTGTAATTCAGTTCCGAAAAAAATGTCTGTAATGGCTGAAATTTAATAGATTCCTACATTATTGTAAGTTAAGAAAAAAAGAAGTTGTAGTGAAAGTCAGCTTCGAGGTGTTCCAGCACCTGATCTTCCCACTGGGTACTTTATTATTAGTTAGGTTTAAGAAGCTATGTAGTCCAATGGAACTGTAGTCACTGCAACCTGTAAGATCTTTTGTGACTCGCCGCTAAAAGTCATAGTAGGTCTTTTAGCCTGGTAGCCTCTGAGAAGTCTATAATATTCCTGATTTTCAGAGCTTTTATATCATCTGGGCTGATTATGTGTTGCCCCAGATTTATGCTTTGTTTGTAAATCAACCGCACTGACACAGGAGATGTTTTTGTGTTTCATGCTCCTGTTTCCTGTTTTCACTGTCATTGGGTATTAACTGTGTACTTTCCTTGAGTATGTTGAAGCACCCTTAGTACTTCAAAATACTCATATATCAAGGTATATTAAACTCTTATGTCCTACTCTACTTTAAATCGCCATCTCATTAATTATTCTATCTCGCCTAACCTTACTTTACCCTAATCGACTTTTCCAAAGTTTACTGTTTTGCTTTACTTTCCTGTAGTTTAGTTTATTTTGCCGTACTAACTAGTTGATCTGACAAATGTGGTGTCCAAATTTAGTAAAGGCATTTTAGAGAAATCAATAGAATTTAGGAGTATTGAAATGACTCGGGCAATTTAATAAAGACTATGGATTTATTTAAAAAATAAGTATTTTGAATTTGTATTGACTAGAATAAGGTTATATTGAATTTGAATTTTGTTAATTAACTTTCTTTTATTTTTAGTTAGAGTTAAATAATATTTGCTGATCTGTTACGTGACAACTAAACAACTCAAGAAGCCAATTTGTTTGTAACTTTAAACAACTTATAAATAAATATAAAATTCTCCATTGTGCAGTTACCTCGGTTTCTACGCTTACTTGATCGACACTATATCTGCTCCGGACGCTATAGTTCGTTACTTGTGCAAACAGTACAACATACACAGGATACCTATAGGGAACGAACACACGTATAATAACAGCGGGAAAGTGCCAGCTAACATCACATACTTCTTTACAGGTATGTGAATATAAATATTATTACTACTTACTACTCGTATGAATTAACATGACACATGAAGGCCTGTTCTATTTCTCAAAAAAGAAATTTCGTCTTTTTTTATGAAGTGCTATACGACTCCAAACAAAGTGATAATTAATAAATTATCATAATAACAATTTGAAGTTATTCGAATTTTTGTTTGAGGACAAATAGTACAAGCTTTCAGGTGTCATGTTAATTTGTACGAATATATGTCTATTTCCTTTCGTTGTTTTCCATAAGCTTGGCGTCTAAAAATCATAGATAAAAAATACTATCTTTCCTTAAATTCCATCAGACAACCAGTTACTTATTTTTTATACAACTAACGGTCAGTCACAAATGTCCATTAAGGTTCAATTCGCCATTGAGCACTAATGAATGTCATATTTGTATGGATAATGTCGCTTTAAACTAATGATAATTTTAATGGACGTTTGTGCAACTGGCTGTAAGATAAACCCAAAATTGTAGTTATTTAATAATAATATATCTATTTAATAATAAAGAAGAAAGCTTAGATTGCTTGTCTGTTTGCACTTAAATCATGTTTTTTGATTTTATAATAATATTCTTATTAAAAAAAATGTGAATGCGAAATTGATCAAATATATTAATTTTATAATAACAGTATTATTCCACTTTGTAAATGTTTGATTTATATATATATGTAATGTGTTATATAGAGAATCATCGATTCACTGTTCGCGTGTCCGCGTACAGTGGCGCCAAATCGAGCACCGTGATAGAAATACGTTCGGCAAGACTGTTGGCCAACACTATTGACGTCGACCAAGTTAATAACTATAATCAACAGTAAGATAAAAATATACTTTATTACGTTCACATTAATAAATCAGTCATTAAATAGTATTCTGAATACAAAATGCTTAAAAAATCCACTTGGTCCCTGGCACCCTGAGATGGGATTGGAACCCACGAACTTTAGCAATCTAACAGGACTGACGAATATTAGATGTTTCTTTGAAGAGAAGCGATAAGGTCACTATTTGTTCTATATTTGTTGTGTTTATTTGAAATGCAATAAATTGTATTGTATTCTTTAATATTGTAGCTCTTTACTAATGTTGTATTAATATGGCTATGTCTTACTATGATAACAAAGAACTATGTCTAATTATATATATATATTATATATATCAAAATGCAGCTTATTTTTTACTTATTTCATATCAAGAAATTAAATCTTAAAACAAAGTAAGGATAAAAATTGCCAGGCTGGTAATTATTTTTAAATAGTACCGTGATAACCAGATGCGATTCGGACCCTAAAATGACGGTTTGCTATGTTTCCTTTCATCTACTACAGAAAAATATACATTTATGAGACAAAACTATAAAAAAAATTAATGCATTAAAAGTAGCTTTATGTCTGTACATTGCAATATACAACGTAATAAACCTTTCTCGTTTACCAGACTTTCAAGATTTGAGCAAACAGCACAATCGCATCGGACTAAAATACAAGAATTCGATAACAAACTTTCGACTTTGGAAGTAAGCCTCAATGAACTGAACACTAGGAGAAAAAGGATCAACGAAGGTGTAGAAAAGGTATATTTTGTATTATATATTTTTTTCTGTTTATGTATGATGAAGGTTATTTACAGATTGACATGACATGTGAAATATTCAAAGTTGTTTGTAAAACATCACCAACTGCGTGGAACTGGATAGTTAACATCACAAACAATAACGTGTATTCTACTAGTTTTGATATAGGAATTTATCACATTTTACTATCGAGTTGGGTTCGGGGTAAAATAACGGTAATTCACTTCACGATACGATTGTTTAATCACCATTATTATTGTTGGTATTAATGTAGTGCGAGTGTAGCGTCGTTCTTCCATTGAAGGAAAAACATTACGAAAATGTAATATTAACTTAATATCTTTTTTGTTCAAAGTGTTGAATTATGCCAAAATTCATGAATCAAACTATGTTGCTTATGTTAGCTTTCTAGTCCTGTGTGGTTGATGGTGTTTTACAAATAATAATATGAAATCTCTAATAAAGAATATGATGATATATTTTTATAATAATAAATTTAAATCCCTAAAAGGTCCGCACTATATGTGCCCAAATACGTTTGCAAAATAAAAAAGTGCAAGATATTGAGAACGAACCGAGCTTCAATATAGAGCAAGAAAGAGCCAGATGCAGAAGGAAACAGAAAGACTGTGTGTTGAAGCAATGCAAGCTACATCAGGAACTCAGTGATATAGTAAAGAGTTTGCAAGGGAAGATATTGAACGGGGAAATGTGGAAGGTATGAAGGAAAATATTTAACATACATTTTTATGAGTATTATGCATACAGTAAATATTTAGTTTTATTACAGTTTCGAGAGCACAGTACGAATTAATTTGTTTACTTGTCTAACAAATTTTGGAAACTTCCATAGCCAAGTGGGTTTCTAGGTGTCGTCATCTCTAATAGAGTCCCAGATTTTATTCCCGCGAAAATGAACTTTTAAAACATCTATATTGTCTCAGGTCTGGGTGTTGTGGTACCTACATTGTCTTAGTTACTTCATAATACGGGGGCTATAGCTACTCATCTTAAAATCTGAGCAATGTATGTGATGTCGTCTTAAAGATATTTAGAAACTTAAAATACGGCACATCAAGATATCCCGCACTTTTAAATCTGTTTTGATTTTAGATTTAATAACATGCTGAAAATTAAGTTCTATATCGAATCTAAAATATTTACGATATGACTTAATTTCACGTCTAACATATTCTGTTTATGTTGATATTGATAAAAATAGATTAATCCATCGATCCATTATTTTAGGTTAAATTAGACTTCAGTCGCAACGCAATAGTACAACAAGAATCTCAATTGCGCGAATTGAAAAATGAACTTCACAGTGTACAAGCAACTTTGGAGAACATAGAAAATTATTTGAATAGAGCCAAAACGAATGCTAAAGAGAAACTAACGGAAGCGAAACGTTGTTGCGACAACAAACTACCACAAGAGCCGGGTTTTCCTTATAAAGAAGATTTTGATGTGTTGCCGTGTGACATAAACGCATTGCAAGAACATTGCTATGAGCTGCAGACTAGAATAGACTGTATGGATAAAGGTGATGAACAGGTAAAATTAGATTAATAATTTTTCGCAAAGTTTACAACTTTGCAGCCTTTTTAGAACCAGTGGCCGAATAGTCTAATTTTAAAATCTATCACAATCATTTCGAATTTGATATCTATACTAATATTATAAAGCTGAAGAGTTTGTTTGTTTGAACACGCTAATCTCAGGAATTACTGGTTCGGATTGAAAAATTCTTTTTCTGTTGAATAGACCATTTATCGAGGCTTTAGGCTATATAAAATCACGCTGCAACTATTAGGAGCGAAGAAATAATGGAAAACGCGGGCGAAGTCGCTGGCGGCCACTAGTTTGAAATATATTTTTTTTTGCGACCGCAACGTTGAATCGTTAGTCGCAATGAAGAAGTTTACAAAAAAATATTTTTGTTTGAAATGAACGATATCGTTAATTTTAATCGGAATTTTCTAAGTAGTTACAAATATCTTGAAAGCTATTTGGAAATATCAAACAAAATGAATTGTCTATGACATTTATGGGTATGTTCCGATATACACTGCGACCACTGAACAGTATGACGTCAATTTAGTATACTGGAAGCCCGTTCCTTTATAGCTAGTTATACTGGTGACTTTAAAACGGAACGCAGTCCAGTATACTGTTAATCCTATTTTTGGCGCCATTTTCAAATTTGTTAATGCAAGGTGAATATAAATATAAAGATTCCCTCTTTTCAAAAGAAAATTGGAAAATTGTATAAAAAAAATATTTATCAATTAAATCCATCTTATAAATAAACGCATTTTTTTTTTGTTTATTTAGAAACTTATCATTTTCTGATTCTGTTTTGACTGATCACGTGATCAAAAGCACTGCGAGCACCTTACCTCGAAATCTCCAGTGCTCACAGTACAAATATGGCGGCAATTTATGACGTCATAAATTTCCCTAGGGTACTGTAGCAGTGTACTGGCAGTCCATAACGGAACGGATTTTTCAGCAGTAAGACCACTGCGCAGTGCTCGCAGTGTATATCGGAACATACCCCACATCATTTGTTCCAAAAGCGATTGTGTCTACAAAAGTTACACAATTCCTTAAATCACTATCACGACCGCCATACGTTTGAAAGGGATTCTCATAGATTTTAAAATTAGACAATTAGGCCACGTATTTGTTATTGAGATTTAATATTTTATATGCCATGTGGTGATTCTGTAAAACATAACGCGTCGTGAGCATTTCCGTAAGAGCCATAGCACGAATTTCGCTAAGTGGATATTTTACTGTGACTTCAACGCATTGTGATCTTTTTTCTCTCATAGCGATTTCGATCTTTGAGCGTAACACGTATAGTCTAAGATCCGAACCTAAATCGACCTTATTATCTTGATGTTGCAACATTTAATAAAAAATATTTTTTTTAAAAATAATTAAAAATATTCTGTCCAGGACTTTTTTAGCGAACCCATTTTTAATATATTTTCTAATATACTAAATTAATTATACAATAAGTTTTATTCCATTATCAACCCGGTGGAGGTCGATTTAGGTTCGGATCTTCTACTAGTATAAATGTTCCTCTTGAATCACATATATTGACAAAAAACCGTATTAAAATCCATTGTAGTTTTAATGATCTCAGCGTACAGACACCAGGAAATGACTTTGTTATATCATATGTATTGAATAAAGAAATCTATTTAAATAAATAACAGAATAAATCATTATTTCTGTTTGATGCCAATACCCTAATTATTTTAAGGTTATCAAAGAATACGAGGAAAGGGAGAAAATGATAACTAAACTGAAAAGAGACGTCACCAGTTCCAGTGATACTAATAAACAATTAGAAAACAAAATGAAAGAACTCAGGTGAGCATTATTTAGTAGACCTTGTGGTCTTGGAGTCTATTGAATTTATATTATAACAATAAATAGTAAACATATTTAAGTAGTTGAAACTGTATTACTAGTAGCATAGAACTTCTTTACCATTAAATATTGACATTGAAATTGACCATTAAATAGATGCAAGTATTTATAAGTTTTTCACCCGTTTTCACTTAACTAGAACAAGGCATAGCTTATCTAGGAAACGTCTAATCTTACGCAACGGATAAGCAGATTAGTTTGATTCTTAATATACATTTTTTTCTTTTTATCCATGACACATTTGTGATCTGTCATATCACGCAAATGCCTAGCGCAAGGCGCCGCTAAACTCATGCCTTATCTTTAGATATTGTTTAATATTGCTTAAATTAATTACCAAAAATCAAATAATTATATTCCTTGTCACGTGAAAGCAAACAGCTCGTGACGTCATGCCCCTCTTACTTATATCAGAACTTAGAGAATTAAACCTCATGCATTCATAAAACCACATTAGTTTAAGAAGGTTGTGACGTCATAGCGATGCCATGACAGAAGTTTTCTTGGAAAATTTTGATTATTAAATTTATTTTTAGATTTTAACTTATTGTGATATTGATTTACAGTACGAAATGGTTGCCGCCATTAGAGCGATTGTTGCGAGACATCGATAAAAGTTTTGGTGACATGTTCGCGAAATTAGGGTGCGCGGGAGAAATCAAGCTGGACAAGGGCGGCAGTGACGTAAGTGGTATTTTAATTTAGGGAATGTATAGAAGGGCGATATTGGCTGCTACAGGAGTTCAAACAATCAGTGTTATTTTTGAAAAATACGAAAACTCGCAGAACTAGGTAGTCAAAATTGTCAGCATTTGAGTTACGGCACGTTCCAACTTATAATACACGTGAATCTTTGTTTGTGCAAAGCAGATCGATTTCGGAGGTGACTTAATGTACGATTAAAATTGATAGTGTTTTGTTTCAAAAGAAATAAGGTATAAATTACAATGCATTAAGCAAAGTTAGTACATGACTTAGTACATATTCGTGATCAGTAAAATGAGCTATACACTTTCTTTTTAGATTGTTTTTGTATTGACAGCAGTTTTGATTCTTTTTATATGATAAACTAGCTGACTCGACGAACTTCGTACCGCCATATTTTATTTCTCCAGTTGCGACTGAGGGTTTTTTTTATAAATTTTCTTAAATACAAATCTTTGTCCTGATCTGACAGTAAGTAATACAAAAAAAAAAAACAATTTAATGCAGTCGTTCAATTTATATTCTATTAAATGCCAAAGATACACACAAAACTTTAAATCTTTAATTGCGATTCGCTCAAAAGTAGCCAAATAAAAAAAGAACTAACGGATATGGCCGAAACTATAATGGTTCTTTGTTTACTATGGCACCCTAAAAAGGCATTAATACTAGCACGATTTTGTTATCAGGAGGATTATGACAAGTACGGTGTTTCGATATTGGTCCGTTTCCGCGCGTCCGAACAATTACAGCAGTTGACTAGACACGCCCAGTCCGGTGGTGAACGAGCCCTCTCCACCGCTCTCTATCTGATGGCGTTACAGAGACTGACCACTGTGCCCTTCAGGTCAGTATAAGCATAGTATATACAAGGTTAACCACTGAACGGGAATATTTAAATAAATAACTAATTCATTAAGTAAATTAATTTTATTATTTAATGGTTATACACATAAAGAAAAAAGGTAGCCATTTACAATAAGTGAAAAAAAAAATTTTTTTGAATAGAACACTTGCTATATGTGCTCCATTGGAATCTATGCACTGAGCATTGCATGTTTAACAGTAGCGATATTTTGAGGGGTTTGAACGGTTTTTGCACTCCAAACTCGTTTTTTAGACGTTGATCCAATTTGAAGGAACAGGCCCGTTGCGCGGTATGTTGACATGGCGTCGAAAAGCACGTCGTTTTCACCATACTCTCACTATTCGTATAATACGCTTTAACCGCGAAGTCGCGATGTTCACCAGTCTGACGATCCATATCAACTAAATGGCCGGACACGCAGGTAGAAGGGAGCCGGCCACTATTACCCCCACCACTGACATTACAACTGTCAAGGCCATCTCCAATCTTCCCGCTTCAGTGGCTGACCCTGTATATGTCGCAGCCAAGTGGTATAATCATCCGACAATTAGGCGGCTAGCCCTTTAATGAATGGCCCCATTCAATTCAAGGGCTACTCGCCTAATTGTCGGATGATTATACCACTTGGCTGCGACATATATAACAGAAGATAATCTACATACAAAATACGCTCGAGCAACGCACACATAGACAACACTCATGGACACGATGCATCGGACTGTTTTGTACCAGTGCGAGTGCGACTGCCATCGTCTGTAAACTTTTTAACGAAAGCTAACGGCAAAAGAAGTGTTATTTTATTACAACTGTTCGATGGCCGGTTATTTAAAATAAATGGTAAAATATTATTTTTTAAGCTACCAGTTGTTTCAGATAGGTAAATAGGTAGTTACTTGTATTCTCCTATGGCTAAGGAAATTATATGGATAGAAATATGTTTACAAACATTGATGACTTGCACCTGTATTCATTTACTAGTGACTAGTGTATTACTAAATTTTTGTTAGGCAAATTCACATCAACAAATTACGCAATTTGAAAACATATTTTTTTATTTATTTGATCAATTTTGCATTCACAATGCTATACCGGAAAGCTTTGTTAATGAAAAAAGAAATATTATGTTGCTTTTGTGTCATTCGATAGGTTTAGCTCTAAAACGGACGGAAACGAACGGTAATTATGAAATGAGAGACATTAGATATTAATTTATACCTATTTAATGAAATTAGATTTACTTGTAAATCATAATAGCGGTTGCTATTTTTGTCAACCATAACAAGTTACAACAAAACTTAACAATAACAATCGAAAACAACAAAACCATAATAAAATGTGGTCTTAACACGACCCATATCAATAAATGTACTCGTCATGCAGTGTTTATTTGTTAACGGTTGCTGAACATAATTACGTCACCAAAATGGCGGCCGAGCGCATTAGCGAATTTGCGGGGACTAAATGTCTGTTACTCTACTAGTGTTTGAAAAAGTACTGTTATAAAACCAATTGATTTTAATATTCTTAATGAAAAAAGGTAAAAAATTTCACCAGTACCACGTACTCTGAGATGGGAGTCGAACCCACGATCTTTCGCAAGTCGGGCGACTGCTTTAACCACTGAGCTACCCAGCACCTAACAGGACTGACGAATCACGAAATCCACCCAAACAGCTGAAAGAAATATTTTAAACAAATTTCATTAGGAATATTTTCAAGTATTGCATTGTGAATGCCAAAATTGATAAAATATTTAATTTGATGACCTCCAAAAAATTTAAATCTGCACAGGAAATAATTACACAGTACAGTACATTAATTTTGTGTGTACTGTAAATTAGTAAGTTTTTTGGCAACACATATAAAACAAGCTTTTCACCAGCAGATTCTCGCCCGTATGACATTGTTTTATACTTATCAATCTCCCTCTCGAATCACTCTGTGTATTATGTTATAAAAACCACATTAAAATCCGTTGTGTAGTTTATAAGATCACGGCGTACAGACAGCGGGAAGCGACTTTTTTAACTATTATTTTTAGATAAACACGAAAATGTGAATAAACATTAAATTATCAATATGTTCTAAAATATTGGTTACTACTTTTAAAATTACTTTGTAACAAATGATTGAAAATTACTTAGCTTAGACACGCACAGAAACAAATTAAAAATAAATTTGGTGTACAGATGCGTCGATGAGATCAACCAAGGCATGGATCCCATAAATGAGAGGAAAATGTTCCAGCTGTTGGTGAAAGTGACCACAGAATGCGACAACGCCCAATATTTCTTATTGACACCTAAGGTAAGCTGATCCTAAGATAAAATGACATGTAATTGCTAAGGCAGTTAATGAGAAAACAGAGAGATGATTGATAGTCCACGACAGGGGTCATTATATATATTTTTCTACTTAATTCTTCTTAATCCAATACAATTAGTGTATAATTTCTCAATGTCTCACCTCGGCTTATAAAAGTTGCAAAAACATCATGAATTAGACATACTTTGTAAATTTGTCATTGTAAGCTTATTTGCTCTTTATTTCTTGTAACACCATCTATATAAAAGTGATTTTGGTTTATAACCTGTTGATTAGGTTGAAAGTCTAATTGAAAAAGTTATTGGTTTATGTTCCGCAATAGGAGTAATGTTAATATTATAAGTATTTTATTATGCATATATAAAATTTTGTTTCAGCTCCTAACAAACTTGGAATACAATGAAAAGATAATGGTACACACCATAATGAACGGTAAAAATATAATAAACTATAGGAAGTGGAAATACGATCAGTTCTTGGAGAAAGCACATACATATAGGATATCACAGTGATCCAGTGAATTATATAATAGGTTGGGGAAAAAGTTTCTACGTATTTTATATGAAAATTCTAAATATTTTTTAATACAGATTATTTACATTTAACCAAAGTATGTAGGTTACATTTTGTTCGAAAACTTTTGCCATCTTGTAGGTAATCTTAAAACAGGATATGATCCCTTTGCTATAGAAATTTTGAGGCTTCTGATCAAAAAACTGTGACAAGTGGCTTTGGCATTCCTCGTGTGCTATTAACCTGACACTGCTTAAAGAATTCTGAAGAGAGCGAAACAGGTGGAAACCTAAAGGTGCAAGATCAGGTCAGCGGCGGATGCATTAACACCTCCCACCCAAACTTGAACTCATCTTGATGAATAACTTTATTTTCTGTTCTTGTCGTAGTGACCCAGGTTTTATCACCAGTTATAAGCTACTTCAAAAATGGTTCGGTTTCATTACGCCGTAATAAAATAAAATGAGTTCACGGTTCATTAGCTTCCTTTCAATGTACTCGTGAGATACCTAAATATCCTACTTTTCGTGTACCTAGATTTCTTCAAATACGCAATAACTGTTTTGTGGTCAATCTCCACTTCAGCTACGTCGTAACTACTGACAAGCAGATTTTGCTCCACTTTTTTAAAAACTGCTTCTATTTTATCCATTATGGCGACCAGAGCGACGTGCATATTTGACATGAAAATTTTAGGACTATAAAAGCTTAAATCAAATTTGTGGATACTCTCACAGAACTGCACTAGGTCCATAAATGTCACATATTTTTTTCGTGGATTGAATCTCTTCATTGATTCACTTATTTTGACAGTAAAGAAAACAAATGAAAATCACAAATTTTCCTAATTTGAATTCAGAGTTATCTTTTTTTAAATTAAATTTTTTTAATGATATCGAAACCAATCAGATACAAATGGTATAGACATAAAGATTTGATTATAAGTTTATGCATACTATATGCGAAAAGACTTTTCCCCAACCCAATAATTAGAATCCTGAGACCTAGTCTGCATTGGGGCACATTTAATACTTACAGTGAATAAAGCTTAAATATTTCAAATTGAGGCTGTTAATAAAGTATCCAATGTACTTATTAAAATCGGGCGATTAACAAGTTGCTTCTACACAATGCTCTCGCATTTTTTCGCATTTTATAAATAATTACAGATATTTCCCATACAAGTGGGTTAATTCATACTAGAGATGTCATTTAATCTCTAGTGAAGATACTCATTTTTTACACACAGTAACTTTTTAAGCATTTTGTAGCGATTAGTCTATGTTGTGGTAATTTAGACGATAATTCGATTGAAACATGCAGTTGTTTCGAAACAATTTTGAGATAATCCCAAGACCATATCTTATGGTCAATAACAGGTTTTAAGTTCGACTTTTTGCTGCTGTCCTTTTAAAGTATTAAATATTGAAAGGTGCTGCCAAAAGATGTCATGTGTAAAAGGCCTTCACTGATGGTTATTATAAGGGATTTCTAGTACTGTGTACCTGATTAATAATATTACGTTGATCTACAATATTTACTACTCATTAGAATTACACAGGCCTCGGGCTTAGGTGACTGGCGCCCTGGGCAAGTGGTCTACTGGCGCCGCCCCCTTTATTACTATAATGTAAAAGCAAATAATCTATGTTACTTATATTTTATGAAGGAAATAACAAGAAAACACGTCTTTTATACACAAAACTGTAGACATTTATTTCTATATAATTCACACTTACAGCAAAGATTACAACTTAAAATTATATTTTTAAGGCAATTTGTTTCTCTCATTTATTTTTATTATCTCTTTTATTTTGCGCCCCCAAAAATTTGGCGCCCTGGGCAAATGCCCAGTCTGCCCATTTATAAGCCCAGGACCTGGAATATATGTAATAACGCCCAAGTTAGAAATATATGTAATTTCTAACTTGGCTGTTTCACCGGCCATGTGTCTTATACTTATAAATCAGTATCAGTTGCACTTTGAATATGAAAGCAACACGAATGAACCCATTATTGATGAAAAATGAACTACATTTACAAACTAAAAAAAATGTAACATATATTGTGATTATCTTAATGAACGAACAAGAACTCAAATCTGAAAAACATAGTGTAATGTAGTAGATTTTTTATTGCATCAGACTTGATATTCGTTCAAGTGTAACATACTGAGAATGATACATTAATGTACTTTTATACATGTTATTTTGATTATAGTAGGAACCATTTATTGCATACAATTTTTTGTACAGTTGTCGATATAATTTTCGACCTTATTTCAGTGACTTCATAGTTCAAGATCGCATTCCTTGAACAAGACACTCGGTGTTATTAGTTTCTTATTCATTTTAAGCTGTATATTAATAAAAATAAGATTGATTTTACGTTCGTTTTCGCAGTTTATAATGAAGTTAGACGATAAAAAAATTATAAACACCAACCCACCGCAACGTTTCCTAAATCAGGCTTTGTAAAGTCGAAAACTGAATGCTTGATTCATTTTGACCTTTTGTTCGTTTTTGTGTTTTTGATGAATACACATTTCCAGTATTAGTTGATTATGTTCGCTTTTGAAGCATTTTTAATTAGTTTTATAATTAGTTACCATAAAAAGCTCTCTTTAGATATTTGGTATAAGTAGTTTTTCTGAATCCTAGTGACAATTTATGTAATATGTATGTACTTTGATATTATTTTAATTATGTGTAACGAGGAGTATGATTAAAAACATTATTGATTACATAACATACTGATTGAAGTACTTACTAGCGCCATTCTTAATTTCATTTTAATAGCAAGTTTAATACTTCCATTTTAATAATGTAATCACTAATCATACCTACTACAATTGCAAATTTAAGAACAACAATTAATTACATCACATATTGGCGTGTAGGTAATACTTGCAGTACCTAATAATCTTAAAGATCTTATGATTTGAGATTTTAATATTATTACAAATTGAATATGTATATTTTAAAAATAATATGTGTTATATTTATTTCGTTATTGTACTTTTTAAGTGGTCATTGAAGTCTATACCTGCCACATACAGATTCTTTAAATTTATCCATACCCGATATAAGTTAGACCTGACCGGTTTGAAACACTATAGTTTAACAACATCAGGGAAGATGACTAATTTTTGTACGTTTTACCGTTGGATTATTGGAAAATATTAAACGCGTATATTTTTATTTTTGCGTAATCATTAAATAGCGAGCAAACTACCAAGTCGTGACTAAGCGAGCCCCCACTCTTCTTGTTAAAATGAAGACAAACAAATTACGTATCTATTATTTTTCCATTATTTGTTTAACAGACTAGAATTTCTTTTATTACCCTGTCCTTATCCCTAATAAAGAGAACTAATTCGCTGTGTTCGAAACAGAAAGTAGATATACATTTCAAAATTATCATTTTACGGTTCATAAGCAAAGGTAAAAAAAAATAGTTTTGTAATGTTACTTTTATTCGTTTTGAAACAATATATTATAGGCGAAAATTATAGAGTGCGAATTAGAAGAACTATATAAGTGTTTGTATTGAAATTTGTTTCTACCATAAAAAAAATACATTTATGGTTCAAACTCGATTTGTGGTATAGATAGCTCACTTTAACACAATTCGTTGAGTTATGAATAGTCTGTGGTAACACACATCTTTTGTGTATTTTTTATTATTGTATTGTCTAACAGCCGGGTTAAGAATTAAGAAAATCAAAAAATCTGTACTCAATATCTTAAGAGAACCTTTAAGCCAACATTTAGACCTTGTTTATAAGAATTCTTGTAAACCCATCTTTATTTTTTGTTTATACAGTGAAATAAGTATTGTAATTAATATACAAAAATTCCAACAAGTGCTCAACTGAGCCGTAGTTTTGATTCCAATATTTTAATTGATTCCATTTATTGTTACAATTATGTATAATAGTATCTTTTCAAATTTCAAATGTGATTAAAATAAAACACAGTTTTATGTTAAAATTGTTGTATTGTAAATCAATAAATATTTTTTTAAATATAATAATACAGTACTTTTATTTTTTATATTTAATTAATTAAGAGGCACCAGTGGAATTAACTTTGAATTTTATATAAATGCTTACAATTTTTGTTATAAGCAAAATTAATATTTACTATTTTAATAATATTTTACATCTGATTGAAGCAAATAAGAATTATATAAAGCTTATTAAATGCAATGCATTAGATAGAGAATAAGTTGGCGTTAATGCAGTCAAAGGACTCGCAAATAGTAACTATTAGAGATTATATGTCATAAAAGTTCAGTGCACCATTTCACTGATGGCTAGTACTGAATCTTGAAGTGGGTGCAGCTGTTAACTTATATTACATGAAAATCTTTAACCCTTATGGAATAAGAGCGTTAATTGTCTTTCCTATCTCTATCCCAAATTGCCTAGGGTTAATATTAAAATGGTCAGTTTATAGTGTTATTTAATTTTCCATTTGTACTCCTTTGCCTGTCCACTGTTCATCTAGTTTGACGTCACACTCCAAGTCTCTTAGCGCTGATTTTATGTCGAAGCCGAAATCTTTCTCAAACTTTTTGTAGGCATCCTTCAATAAACACTCCACCCCTAGTTCGTGGAACTTGTGGTTTTGTTCGCGACATCTCGCCACCATATTGCGAACAGCCCAGCATCCATTTTTCTATGAAAGGATTTAGTCAATTGCTAACATACTCTTATTTGAAATCGAGCATATAGTCTAAGAGCTGGTGACCACAATGTGAAAGAGCTTAAAGCTTGATATTTTAGAATGTTGAAGTAAAGCGAAAAACTTATCCTTAATAAAAATAGTTTTATATTTCGAGTCCACATTTTTGTCACGAGCTCTCCGGCTATATGATTTTTTTATGTGTTGTTTCTGTTGAAATCTTCAAAACATTTAGTCAGAGATCATGTTGAAGTGCTTGTTAAGACGTCGATGATCAATGTAACATCTTAACACCCGCCAGAGTTCATATTGTGATGAAGATATAAATGGCAATGTATCTATAAAAATCTAATATGAAAGGTGCCAGTTAGGATCAAGACTATGACAGCTGTCATTAGGCCATTTTTCGGGTTTCCAGAATCGGCATCATTGACATTTCCGCTTTAATATGTCTTACTACAGTTTGTAAGAAACAATATCCAGCAAGTATTTTTTTTATGAATTTGAAATTATTTGTATACCGTTCGTTTACCTGTACAGCGGCATTATCTGGATGTATTTTAAGACAATTCACTATAGCTTCGGGCGCGTCGTTATCAAAGAACTGCACGCTGTGATCTGGTTCACGGAGTGTTAGCGCCGATATACATTTCAGCAACATGGCTCCGGCTACTGCGTTACTCTAAAACATTGACAAATATGTAATATCCAAGATTAGGAATTGATATGAAATTTTGATATTAGATGTTTTTTAAGGTTTTATACCTCGAAAGGAGAATCGAACTTTTGAAACTCCCGTGTTTGTCTGTCGGTCTGACTTACCTGACTTTACTTGATAAGCTTCTAAATTATAGGACTATTAAAATTTAAGAACGACCGACACTCCCGAGGTTCCTGGAGAGTACTATTTGTCTTTAATATAATGTAAAAAAAAATATAAGTCTAGGTCAAATAGTTTCGGAGATATTCAATTACAAAGTTTTTGAATAAAAATGAGTGTTTTCAACCCTGAGTCAGCTGTTTTTGGGACGTACTAAGGAAAAGTTTTTAATCGGTCATTGACTTATTCATTTCTAAAACAAAATAAACTAGTATGTGATTTATAAGACTGCTTTCATGCAAATTCTAGCAGTCAATCAATAAACAAGGCAGTCAAAATGCTTAAATCGATTAACAGACTAACAGCCGGTTTATGTTTTGAAAAAAGAGAAAATTTCTACTGCTTATTCTCAATAACCTAGTTTTTTTAATTTCACAAGTCAAATAGTCTTAGTTTATCAAACTGACAAATCGGAAACGAAAACTAAGTGATCTTAGTTTGAGACGTTTAACTTTACATACTCAATTAAGAAACCGAGTGTAAAATTTCCTAAATTATTGTAGAGAGATCACTCTAACATTAATCTACGTTATTTTAAAAGAGCAGTTCTCCATAAAAATTGTTTGAATGGGGTAATACTCCTTTAACAACGGGATCGTTAACTAAACTCGATAAACTCACAAATCTTCCAGCGATTCATCATTAACACAAATGAACTTTGTTTTAAAAACATTGAGGAATTTGTTATTAAAATAGCATTTAAAAAGAACTTTAAAAAATGAGTGATATCAAAGACGAATAAAAAAATATGAACCGAGTTCGTCCCTCAATATCAAAGCCCCGCCCACCCGCCAGCCGGTTTCATTATTCTGTTGGTATTGTCCGGTCGATCAGTCGCCGCCGACCTTTTGCGCTGGAGTGTTGTTGCGCATCGCCGCCGACGCACCGCTGCGAAGCGTCTTTTTTGTCGATTTTTGTTTTGTTCTAGTGCATTTTTAATTGAATTGTTGTTAATAAGTACGTAAATTTAAAATATTACAATACATAAATTTAGAAATTTAGTATTAACTACGTCTATTGGTGATTTAAAGACAGCCATGTTGCTTACTCTAATTATTTAAACCTTAAAAAAGGTTCAAATTTTGTTTTTTTAACACGAGTCCATGTCCGCGGTATTTAAAAGTACGAAACTTTTAGACCGAGGAGTTTCTTTTGCCAATGGCAAAATAACACTCTTAAATCGGTGTACCTATATTAGGCGTTGTTCCGATATTTTGCCTAAGGCGCCAAGTTTCATTGAGCCGACGCTGTTAACATGTGCTATATATATTCTCAATAAAAAATGCGTGAAATGCATTTTTAAAGTAATAATAATAATATATATACTTTATTGCACACACAAGACGAGTAACAAATTACACAACTTAGAAAAAACAAAAGTATACAAAAGGGCGGCCTTATTAAATATAATGCTAATGTGCATAGCATCTATCGGTCAGTTGCACAAACGTCCATTAAGGTCTAATGACGCCTTTAAGCTCTAATGAATGTCAAATTTGTATGAATAATGTCGCTTTAAACTAATGAAAATGTTAAAGGACGTTTGTGCAACTGGCTGTTAGTCTGTTAAACGCGCGCACATACACGGTGAGCTAGCTATGCAGGGACATTCTGAAAGTTTGTATACAAAAAAAAATAGTATTCTTAAAAAGCATTCTTACCCCATGCCGATTCAAGAGAGCAACTATGACGGGTGCAATACCAGCTTTCATCAAATTCCTTTTCACATCGTCGTTGCCAGCCAATGCCGTGATTCTGTACCAATTATTATTTTTTTAATATGCATTTGAAAAAATAAAATTACTTGTTTCCGTTTTTCCGTTCAAGGATCTAAGCGAATATATAGTTTTAACAGACATTTTAGCCTCTGGAGTGTCATAGTCATACCTTTAAATATTCAAAGTATTCATTATTTCAACTAAGTGTTTTGAAGAAAAAATAAAATGGAAAACATGTAATTGATTTTGTATGATAATGGATACTCCGTGCTTCGGAAGGCACGTTAAGCCGTTGGTCCCGGCTGCATTTTGCAGTCGTTAATACCCTCCAATCCGCATTGGGCAAGCGTGGAGGGTCATGGCCCATACTCCTTAACCATCCATAAGGAAGGCCTAAACCCCTGCAGTGGGGACGTAATTGATTATTTTACCATCCTGATCTTACTTGATATTCCAACAGTAACTATAGCAACATGTGTGTTTTATCTATAGTCCCTGGTGACAAACAATGTAACACTTGTCTACTTGCTATAGTATTTTAGTGAATAAATTATTTGCAAAAATGTCGACAGCACAAAATGGTGATTACTTATCATTCGGGGATAAAAATTACGGATTAGGTACAGTTTTAAATTGGGACGAACATAATCAAAGAGTTCTGAAAGGAGATATAATTGGCATAACCGATAATAACACTTCTATAACAAAAAACTGTATCGTCAAAGTCAACCAGACTTCTTGCAACGATTTCAGTGATACCACGGACCAACTTCAGCATCGGGCTCGTCATATAAACTACTGGAAAGCTGAATTAGAAAGAGCTATAAGAGATATAGATGCAGAAATAAACGTTTTAGAAGCTCAAAGGCAGCAAGTGAAAAATGCGATGGACACACTGAAAATACCACACTACATAACTGAAGAATGCTTGGATTTGAGACGCAACAGGATGCAATCAGATCTTATTTACGATGAACCACAAGAGCAGCTGTTCACAGAGTCCGCTCTCATTGAGAATGTCGGAAAATTACACCGTGAAATGCTGAGGGACATTGAGAGTCAATTGAAAATGAACATCGCTGCGAAGGACGCGTTAGAGAACGATTGGAGTAACAAATATTTAGCATTCAAATATGAGAGCAATAACGCAGATTTGGAGACTAAAGCGGAGAACGTGAAAGATTCGGCTGGAGCGACCAGATTATCTGAAGGGCAATCTAACGTCCAATCTTGGGAACAGTATACTGTAAATTCCTTGTCACAGTTCAAACATTCTATAGATAGGTCAAAGGAACTTAGAGCTAAAGTAGAAGCAGTTCTTATAAATACTGCTAGAGATTTGCGTACACAGGACATTAAGGTGAATAAAGCTCTCAGCGAGAGGATCGCTCGAATGGAACAAGTGAAAATCGATCTAGAGGATCAGTTACGTTTGACGTTGGAGAAGATTGTTGAGACCGAAAACATTTTAGAGATGTTGCACGAGGAAATGCTCAAGGTCTCGCAGCGCCTACAAGTAGCGCAAACGCGATTGAATACTAAGAACTGCAGACCGAACGTTGAAAATTGTAGGGAAGGCTCTTTGATAGGCCTGATCGAAGAAGTGAGGGATCTGAATGACAGTATGAGCTTGCTGCAGAAAAGATCTTTGGAAACAGAGAAGTTGAGGGCTGATTTGATACACGAAAGGTCGATTTTGGAGAATGAAATTACAGTGAAAAAGAAGACATTGTTTATCGACAACGAACACTGTCTGTTTTTGAGATCACACTATCAGTCTGCTGAAAAACTATGCGGTTATTGACTGCATTTATTAATTTGACCCACAATTCAAACTACTTTTAGCACTCTACCAAAAAAAACACGCATGTTGATTACAGCTATAGTTGTCATAGCAATTGCATTTGAAATAAGCTTTTGTCTGAATAAAATATTGAATAGATGATGAAGCATTTAAACAAACACAACAAAAAAGTTCCCCATCATAGTCAGTAAGACTTACATTTTTTTGTGCCAATAGAATAAGGAACGCCACCATCAGTGGATAAGCCAGTGGTCTTGAGTAGTGGTAATCTAAAGTAAATCCTTTTATTATGATACTGTTAGTTAGCAATATTACAGTATAAATATTTTTTCGACTCAGTCAAGTAGTGTGACCAGGCACTTATAATCATGAAAAGCCAACATTAATGATATAGGGCTGATGACATTTTTCTTTCATTTGTCCATCAGGTAGATTGTTGAAAAAAATTTGACACTTATTTTATTTATTTATTGCGTAATAATTAAATAACGGCAATGCATTGGGTTGAAATGTTGCATGACGTCATGCCTTTGTACATTTTCTACAAAACTGTGATTTTGCTATTTTTTGTTAAATTTAAGTAAAACAAAAACGTATATAATATTTTTCTATTATCTGACTGACGGACTAAATAGAATTTCTTTTTACCCAGTAATCATTCTTATTGAGTTTTAGCTGCTCAATTCTATGAAATATATTGATTTTATGAAATGACCATAAAACATTATGAATTAATACTCACAGCTTGGTAGCGTTGGTAACGAGAGCTGCATTGTCGTAATGTTGTGATAGTGCATTCAGTAATGCGTTAGACGCACCCGCATCCGCAGCTAGAGAACATAGTTCGTGCCGGACTAATAACGCTGCCATTGTAGACACTGTCTCTGACACTACTGCCGAATCAGCATTCTCTATGGAACGCGGGGATTTATAAATCAGACGATACCACACGATGGTCAAATTTAATGGGGACGTTAGCAACGGGGAAAGGGCTGACAAACTTGTTTGAAACATGTAATGAACAGGGTGGCAGTGATAATTTCAACTGAGCGTATTAAATGCATTTTTGGAGGCCAAATGATTTGATAGGTTTAAAGTCAGCACAACACTTGTTGTCATCGTCATCATCAGCCTATTAATGTCCCCAAATTAACAGCTTAACGTGCCTTCTGAAGGTTGATCTTAATAAATTTTTGGTCACCCATAGGATAGGATCGTCCAATCTGAGAGTTGCTTAACAACCATACTGCAGATCGAACGCATTAACCAATGCGCTATCGAGGTCGACATTATAATCAGTTAAATTTTGTCTTGAAAGAAGCAATAAGCGATTTTGATACACACATACCACAAAAATAAGAAGAAAGAAATATCGTGATAGTGTTAAAACATGAATCTTCTTTATTGGTTTATACCTGGTTAGATTTCTTACCTTTCAAATATTTAGTGAGAGGCTCCAGTAGTTTCGATCCTAATTCTCTTGCGTGTTCATGTGCCTTACCAAATTCAACTCTAATGTCATCATCCAAAGTAAATTTTCGTGTTAGCTGCATTACTTCACTAATAACCTAAAAGAAATTAACAAATGTTGAGCACTACAAAAAATTAAACATTCTGGAATGCCACTCCATTTGAAGGCATTTCTTTCAGCCTTTAGTCTCCTTGGTATTCTGAAGTTTCACATTGGTCTGGCCATTTGATAAAGTTAATAGTATGAATTGCATTACTAAAACAAAATGCAGGTCTTACCTTTGCGTTTGTTCTTAATTTGATAATATTTTTCAAATTGTTTGTAATACTTTTTGCAAATATCCTTTGACGATTCAGTTCGTGTTTTACACAGCAGACATTAGCCCATTTTAAAGTTGCTATCAGTATATCATCATCATCAATTTTATCCAGAATACTGTAAGGATAGTAACAGAAACTCAATATAAACTTTACATATCTGGATTGTAAAGTTTATTTCAAGATATAAAATGTTGCTAGTCAAAATAATTAATTTTGCTTTTCTAAAGTTGCCATTACAACAATACATTTTTAATTAATTTAATCAAATAACATATTATTGTCTAGCACATGATATTTAATGCTGATAAAGCAAAGCTATTATTATATTACTTTAGTTAGTAGGTATAAATCATTTTGATGTTTTAAATTACCTGATAATAATTACTAAAATATAATTATAACATTCTATGCATATTAGGTCACAGTATGTATTTAATTTTTAGAATAAGAATTTAGTTAATAAATTTAACATATTTGTGACCCATTATTGGGTCACGAGGGAAAGTTAAGTGGGTGCTAATGGGTGATTTCCAATATAAGAATTAGATATTTCTAAGAAAGGTTTTAAGATGTGAGATTTTAGTAAGATGGGTCGGTGAGATTATTAGTATAAGCTAAAAAGCTGATTATAGAAATAACCAGGATCAGCTTTTGTGTGCCAGGCTATAAAACAAGTATATAATATTATTGATGATAGAAATTATACCTTACTATTATGTCAACACCTTTATGGCCTAACAAGTCTGGTTGGACATCCATTAATGACACAAAAGTTTTCAGTATGCATACGATAACTTTTTTGTCATTATCATTAGGTCTTTCTATATATTTCTTTTGTCTTCTTTCTAACAAATTGATTAGAATATCATAAGCACCTTCTTTACCAGCCTTCACCCTATGTGCAATGTCTTTATTGCATTCTACCTGAAAAGATAAAATTTTACAACTATTTTAAATTATAAAAGCACCATTTACAATCATGTATGCCATGGGTTTATGTGGCTAGCCCCCATATTGGAGAGGACCACACTGTGCTGTACCATCTGGCAGTATGTACAGCTTGTAACACATTTTCACCAGATAAAAAAAAGGTAATAACCTGTCGAAGCAATACAGAGTTCTATGGACAAAGTTATCAATTAGTTTTAACACTCACTTAATACTTGGGCTATTGCACTTTTTTTTACCTGCACTAGGAGCAAATATAGGCTAATTTTCAATTTATTTTACACATATGTTTAAATAAAAAACAAGTTTACCTGCAGATTGGCGAGCTCATTCAGCATTAATTTGTCATCATGGTTTTCATGAATACATATTTCTCTTAAATTATTTATGATCATAATAACTTGATGATCACCTGTGCCCAGGGAAAGATCTTTTATTATGTTTGATAAATCAACTCCCTGTAAATTACATTATACATTTTTATTAGTTTCTTTATAAATTTTTACTAAAAGTTAAAATATTTCGTCTTTTTTACCAGTGAGTGTTACAAGAAATACAAGTAAATAAATCATAAACATCCAGTTCAGATCCTAATCTAGACTTGTTTTGAAGTACAACTTTTGAACAACAACTATGAGATATGTTTAATTGAAGTATACCTACTTGGGCCTGAAATTGTGCAGTAGCCTCTGTTATTGCATCTTCAAGACTCATATCGAAATCTTCCATATTCTCCTTCACTACCTCATCAAAAGTTTCTTGGGTGATAACGCGAACCATTTTCGATATATAATAGTTATATTTATTTTAAATACTAAACATTTATTTTAGATGCTTGCCGTATTAGGCCGTATTCCTTTATAACCTATTTTTATAACACATATAAAACTTTTTTGACTACATAAGGTATCCAATGAGAAAAATTAATACATATAACGGCACTATATTACTCCTCATATATGTATAAGGAGGTATATATTCACCACAGAACAAAAGTACTCTACGAATATTCACAGACTTAGTAGGTATATATCACAAACACCTATTTGCCAGTTGCCTTGCGTTTACACAACTCTGCTAGTGTCATATTGACGCTCTTAACATGTAACGATTTCTTGGCATGTTTGGGTCTTTGGATTGCGTTTTTGACGGTCTTTACACATAACGAGACGATTAAAAATATATAATTTTGAAATAGGCAAAGAAATCTCTAAACTCTAAGCAGGTCTATTTATTTACTTTGTTAAAGGTATGTTGAAGGGTATGATTAAAAATTTACACAAAACTAGCAAATTTTCCCGATTTTTCGATATTAACTTCCATATTTATTCTTTTCAAAGGCCCAGCTGAGCTTTTCTTCCCGATTTTTGAATCTCTTCCTTTTTAATTCATAACCTATTTTCGTTTACACAATGTCACCAATATCACGTTTGCGGAATTTCTGAATCACAATCAAATGATTGTCTTCTTGTCACAGAACAAAAGTACTCTCTTCTTGTCGTCTGTCTGTCAATGTCATTACGATTTCATTCGATGACGCATAAGTGAATAAGTGAAACAATATTTTTATGTGATTGCAACGCATAGTTCGTTTATTTAACTTAATTAGAATTATTTTTCAAGTAATTATATTCACATCTGAGGGAAAAAATGAGTTTCCTGGGTAAAATATTTGGCGGTAAAAAAGAAGAGAAGGGTCCAACTACGCACGAAGCTATACAAAAGTTACGTGAAACTGAAGAATTGTTAGTGAAAAAACAAGAGTTTCTAGAGCGGAAGATCGAAACTGAGATCCAAACAGCTAGAAAACATGCCGCAAAGAACAAAAGAGGTAAATATTCAAGAGCTAAAGTGCCTCATCTTTTATTTAAAACGACCTTGCTTATTAGCTCATATTCTAATTGTTTAACTGGCTGCACTATTATTTGTTTTAGGCTTAAAAATACCCCAGAATTACTAGTATCAGCTTTTTCAAATTCACTGGACTCTTAGCTAAAATTATTGAATTAGTATTAATTTCATAAGTTTCATTATCTGAATATGCATTGTCAGTTTCAATTCATGATATTGCTGCTTCTGTATAAGTATACTAGGTCTTAATTAGGTTTGCTAGATTTTTTTCAAGTATATAAGGGACAAATGATTAAAATGGACAAAAAAATGAAAGAAACACTTAGTTACTCAAATGTCTATTAAAAATATCATCAGTTAAAAGCCGATATTATTTTGACATGGTTGATGATTGTCATTCTCTCAATTATTAGTTTAATGGTGTAAATAATATATATCTAGGGTATGATAGGATGTGAAGATAAAAATCCTTGTAAATGATTTTAAAAAAATCATTAGAGCTAAGTCGCCATTAAACTTTAAAATCATTTGTGCAACTGGATGAAAATTATTTTGTATCTTTTTTAAGTATTTGCTGAAGATTGCATTGGTTTTGCAATTTTTTTTATTAATTAATTTAATATATTTGTAAAAATTATTTGAATTTCTTTCAAGCAGAGCCCAGTATGTGTAGCCTGGTGAAGTGGCATCATTAATTGTTGTCATAAGTAACAATTGTTATAAATAATCTGTGTCAATTTATAATAGAGTTATTTTAATAGAAAGTTTTTATGTATAATGGAGTAAAGTTACCAAAATAAAAAATAAAAAAACAAAAATGTAATAACACTTGTACTGTAAATAATACAATACTGGTACAGTACGAGTACAGTAGGATATTAATCATATGGTTGAAAATAATAAAATATTGTTTTATGTTCAGTGTAAAATAAAAAGTTTATCTAAAAAATCTTGTAGATTTTTCAATATTTTAGTGTAAAATTTAAGTAAGGCCATTCTGTAAAATAAAACTTTAAATTCTTTACAAAAGTATAAAGATTTTAGATATCTGCATACTTATAATTTTTTTTTTGCCAAAAAATTAATTACTCATAGCCTTTTACTTCCTATAGTTTTTCAACTTTTTCTTCTTTAGAAACTAATGTTTCCCCTTCATTTTTACAGAAATATAGTATTTTTAAAAATACTCTATTTCTAGTTATAAATTAAAGAAGATGTATCAATGTACTGACAGTTCAAAATTGTCACAATATTATGTGTTGTTTATTGTTAAAAGTAATTATGTATGGAGATCAAATAAACCTTTTCTCTTAGCTGCAATGGCTGCACTCAAGCGTAAGAAGAGGTACCAGACACAGCTCACTCAGATTGATGGTACATTAACACAAATAGAAGCACAGAGAGAGGCATTGGAGGGTGCCAACACTAATGCACAGGTCCTCACAACTATGAGAGATGCTGCCTTAGCCATGCAATTAGCTCACAAGGATATGTATGTGATTCTTTTAATTTTTCATTCTCTTACTAATATAATAAGGGCAAAATTTTATGTTTACTTCTCCATGCAAAAACTACTGAATATATTTTGATGAAATTTGGTATATGGATAATTTAATTCTAAGACTGGAAAAAGTAGGTAATCCTATTTCAAACATTTCTGCCAGCAGCTTCACCCGCATGGGGCATGCGGGCAAAGCCGCTGGTGGAAAGGTAGTATAATATATGAATTTAAAATAGAAGAGATCCTTATTTTTACTCTATCAATCTGACAATTTTACATGCTATTTCAACAGAAAAAATTATATTCTGACTTTAAGTTATAAATCCAATGAATATTTTTTAAAGTAAAAATAAAAGTTAAGTTTCTTAATCTGAATATCACATGATCTTCTGTGCTTAAGCAGCCAGCTGTGTTTACTTAATTTAAAATCAAATTTAACACATCAGTAGTGAAATTTGTACCTTGTGAAACTAAAGGTAAACTGCTCTGTGCTCTTTAGCCAGCCTGTGTCAAATTCTAGGTAGGCTTTAGTAGGTTATGGCCAGTTTCAAGCTTATAACTTGAGTCAGTCTGTGTGACAAGAAAAACATCCTCCTATTCCGTCCTGTTCTGCGCTTGTCTGTGTGGACGAACACAAGACTACTTAAATATTCTCAACAAAGAGAAATTTTTATTAAAATTTACTTCCAAAATAATTTAATAATTTCTTTTAATAATTCATTTTCTTCTTTTCTAGTGATGTTGAGAAGGTTCACGAAATAATGGACGATATAGCAGAGCAACATGAAATTTCCCGAGAGATTACTGATGCCATCAGCAATAATGTTGCCTTCTCCAATGATGTTGATGAAGATGAACTGGAGAGGGAATTGGAGGAGCTTGAACAGGTAAATTGTTTATGACTGTGCACAGTGAATAAAAAAGGTGATGTTTTGAAATTGCTAGGATAGTCAATGTGACAGACAAAAAGATCTTTACATTTTACATTAACTGTACAAATTAACTTACACTAAATGATAGTACTGTGAATGAAGCATCAAATTTTCATATTTGAGTGAATTCGCTAGACAGCATGCTCATATTTGATCTCAGAAGAAATATGAACATTACGATTTTGAGATAAAGGTGAATTTGCTATATTAATTTTCAGATTGACCATTTGATGTCCTTGGTTTGTATTGCCCCTAGGGCATTTAAATCTGAGCTTTGAATGACCTACAATGCACAGGATTTTTCAACATTAAATTGGAAAACTATGACTATGTATCTGGATTCCTATCTCCACATCAATTTACATCCTATTAATCTCTAATCTAGGGGTCCATACTGTGCTTAAAGTTATGTAAAACATAGTCCATTTGTTAGTGACTATAACCAATAACAAACTTCAGCGCATTGTCTATGCATTGGGATCCAATCACAACTATAATTTTTCCACTATTGAGTGTTGTGTGTATTAAAATCGTATATACATGTTATACCTCAAATCAATATATTTTGTTTATAGGAGGACTTGGACAAGGAAATGATCGGTATCAATGTTCCCACGGATAAGTTGCCTGATGTTCCAGCTGCCGAACTTGTTCATGACAAACCCAAACCTAGCAAGTCTAAGAAAGAAGGTCTGTATTAATTATTTTGTGCGAAAGATTGTTATATATGTGAGTTATTTATTACCGTATGAGGATTTGATTATTAATGGTATTTGTAAATAACACTTTCCTATTTTTATTTTGTTTCGAAATCAACAGCACTTTAAAGTCCAAAGATAAGACAGTAATTTGTTTCGTAAGTTACTGTAATGAGTTTTTTGATGATAAGTCTCATTTTAAGGTTTTAATTAACATAATACATAAAACAAGTTATTTGTTATGCATTAAAAGAGCTAAAGATGGTGGCATCGGGTCATTGATTGTTACTGTAGTTTTTCGATAATACCTGTTAGTATTTCAGTGATTTTTATCATTTCCCTTTTTATTTTACAGAGGATGATGAGGAATTCAAAATGCTTCAATCCTGGGCCACATAAGTTCGGTGTTAGCTTCAACCATCGATTCGCTCCTGCGTATAAGTTGTACGTTGTGATATTTTTAACACTAAAGCGCATAGTTGTATTTATTTCACTTCAACATGTCTAATTTCTCAATATGAGCGAGCGGGAGAGCAACAGTTTCCGAATAATTAAGCGCTAATTTCAGATTGTGTTTGAAGAGTCGTCAGGTTTTTATAGTGATAGTATTTTGACGTCATCTCGAATTGAATTTTGGCCTTTACGTAGACAACCTAAAGTTCTTTTTATCTATAACAGCTGTTCTCAATAGCCTTTCTTCTTAAAAGATAAGCCTACTAAAAGTTGTTAAGATGAATTTTGCAATAATAAATTGTGTTATGCAATAATAGTAGTAGAAATAAAAATGCTTTTTCAGTATAGCATTGTGATTTGTATCAAATATAATAATTAAAATTTGATAAAATATAATAATTAGAACAAATTTTCATCCTAATCGAAAGTTTAAATATTTGTAAAAATATTTCTTTCAACTGTTTGGGAGGATTCCCTGAACATTGACGAGAATACGCTCTGCAGTAGCGAAAAAATAACAAGTGCTTGAAAAATTCGTCAGACCTGTTAGGTCCTGGGTAGCTCAGTGGTTAGAGCAGTCGCCCGGATTGCGGAAGGTTATGGGTTCGAATCCCATCTAAGGGTGCCAGGAACTAAGTGTATTAAAATGAACAGGAACTATAAGAAAATGGATAAGAAACAGGTTGGTAATTTTTCAGTCAGTTCAGTTCTATTTTTCAAAACATTGCGTATTATTATTACAAATATTTATCTTATTTGCACTGACAAAATATTTACATATTTAGATGCGAATAAAGTAAAATAGACTAGTCTCTTATTGAGGATGGTTATTTCAAATGGAAAGAAAATAGAAAAAGTTTTATTAACTCCTAATTTATTGAAGCTTATACTTGTCATAGGATCTTTTAATCAATTTCTATAAACACATTATAATTAAATATTCCACATTAAGTGATTTTTCTTATTATTCAATATTTACTTCAACTGAAGCTTTCTTTTTGGGTTTTTATTTAAAGATAATTGTTTTGTAAATTTGTATAAAAAATGTTGTTGCTACTTCTGTTGTGACGATTTTTTAAATTGAAACAATTCACGTTGCTTTCTTTACTAATATAATCTGAATTGATAAGCTGACGACCTTCACAGACAATGTTGTATATAAAAAAGTATGTATATTCTTTACTTTAAGGCTTGCTAGCGTCTATATAAAGTATTTATTGCCTTAACACCTTTTTTCATATTTAGTCAAATATTGATGGTAAGATTTCGGAATTGAGATGAGGCAGATACATATTTTAATGTTGTCCATTATGTATATTTGTTTGTAAGTTAAAACGCACTTCGATACAGATAACGTAAGAAAATTATTTTGTTATTTTTTATTTTTAAATATAAATATTTTTGGAATTTAATTGGTTTAATTAATAAAATGACATTACTTGCGGAATTAATAAAATTATTACTTTTAAAGGTTAACAATCTCAAATGTTTTTTATCTTCATATTTTTTAACCGATAACTTAGTGCCTAAATTATTATGACAGGCGGTATAATGTAAGTTTGAAGATATGAATAAATTGTGCTAATGTTAAAATATATTTTATTTGAAAAAATATCTCAATGATCTACCTTTTCACGTATTATGTTCACACGTATGGATCATATAAATAAGCAATAACCATTTTCAATAATTGATTATTTAAAGAGATTGATCAATTATATTAGACAAGAATAGAAATATACCAAATAAGGAGTTTACAGCAGAGACTAGCAACTTTTACATCCTCTGTGACCTATTTGACCCCAAAGCAATGTGAATCTATCACTTTCTCAAATTATTTAATCCCCATTATAACGAGAGAAATCACCCGTAGTGTCTGGATAATAAGGCAGAGCTCAATATTATTTATTAGTGTAGATTTTAACTAATCCACGCAGAAAGTACGTAAAAGTTATTTTAAAATGTTGTCCTGGACCTAGATGCCGATCCTTAATCCGGCCATTAGACGATCAATTAGGATCATGATTGGATCAAAGTTATGGATTGATGATAAAATCAAATTATTAGGATAATATGGGATCCTTTTCAATCTGATCAGGATTGAGGCTCTTATGTACCTCCGCTTACATTCTGGTCCCAATAACGTTGATTTCATAAAATTTCAATCACAGAAAAAAAAAACAAATGCAATTTATAAAAGAAATTGTGATCAAAAGAATATATCCAAACCTATTTTTGTTTATATTTTTCATATAGTTAATATATACTAGTTGTAAAATCGACACAAAAAACGTATTCACAGTCAGCTTAGCGATTTTTTCTATTGATTTATTTCGACGGGCTCAATGGCGCGGTGGTAGCGTTCCTACTTTTACGCCGAGAGTAGTGGGTTCGCTCCCCACCCAGGACAAACATTTTTGTGTTTCACAATTATGTCTGTTCTGTGTCTGGGTGTTTTCTATTTATTTTATGTATATATTTGTATTCCCCCGTTTTTTCTGATATCCGTAACAAAAGTGCCTAAGCTACTTACCTCGGAATCAGAACAGCGTGTGTGATGTTGTCCGATATATATTATTTATGTTTCTTTTTGATCTCTATTTCCCTTAGTCACGCCATCACCCGAACGGCTGGACCACATCGCTAGTCCTTTTTTTTGTTGTGTTTCTTATTATCAGAAGAGGGTTCTTATGAAAGAAAAAAATAAGAAAATTGTGTGGAAAATTTGAAAATTGAAGAATATTTAACAACCAAATAAAACTATTGCTAATCTAACCTTAATGCTTTGGAAAATATAAACTTTTTTAATGTAACCCTTATGACGTTTGACATAGAATTGACAGAATGCGTGCTGCAAATATCGTCGTACTTATAGGATGTAAAAAAACGGTTCGAATTCAATATTCATAACTTAAGACAGGACAACGTCTGTCGGGTCAGCTAGTATGTTATATTTTATAAAATGATTTTTATTTGACAAAAAGTAGCCTTAGAATAAAATCGAATAAAAAATTGGCTACTTCCGAACAACGTCGCCTTAAGTCCTCGTTTTATGGGCGTTTCTCAGCTATTTGGAAAATTTTCCACACAAATAAATTTGTGCTTAAAAATGATTAAATTTCCATTCCTATATGTAGTAATAATTATACTGGTATATTTTTTTTTCAATAATATTATCGTAGATAGAGATACTAAGAGTTACAATAAGCTATTTTCGAAGTTTTAGTTTTTTTTAGTTAACATATAGACTACCCGATAAACAGTTCACTAGGGCCACGCGGGCGTATCCGCTGGTGCAAAGCTGAATCGGAATTAATTAATATGGCAAGAGAGACTTCGCCAATTCTATTTTGGTAACAGAGAAATGGCTTACCGTACAGTCTAACACATATGCCATACGCAATTAGCAATCTTTATTGCATTGAAAATTTGTTACCTATTCGCAAATCATGACAAGTATTATTGGGATACCACTCAGCCATAGCGCAATCGCCAATAGGGACGATGACTGATTTTTGTTTGTTTGTTAGTCCGTCACGTAGTTTACTGAAGAATATTAGTTAATTTATAAATTACACCGATACATTGAGTTGACATGTCGTATGACTTCACACCTTTCTACATTTTCTACATAGTTGTGTCGTGACAAAGTGAGCCCCTCAACTTTAATGCCCATCAGCCTTGTAACGAGGGGGGGTGGGGGGGTGGGGTAACCTTAGATTATTGTCCTGATTAAAGTTTATTTGAATCTTATTGTAACAGCCAGTTTTATAAAGGTCCATTTAAACTGTCGTTAGTTTCAAGCGACATTACCAATACGAATTTGACAATCATTAGAACTCAAAAACGTTATTAAACCTTAATGGACCTTTGTGCAACTGACCGTAACTATGATAAACTTTAATGAAACTGTAGGTCTGTTTATATATACCTATTGTGATAATTGAATTTTGTAATGACCGTTTGTTTCTATAAATAAATACATGCTCAAATTCCAAGATGAGTAGATAAAGCCCCCGTATTATGGAGTATCTGAGACAACGAAGGTACCACAACACCTAGACCCGAGACAATATAGGAAAGTTCATTTTCTACATTGACCCGACCGGGAATCGAACCGAACACTTTAGAGATGACGACACTTTGAAATCGGCGAACCACTCGGTTACGGAGGTACGGAAAATATCTGTTTATATGTGTGTATTTATGTCTGTAAAGTGGTTATTTTCTAATATTTTTCTGAGATGACACTGTTGGCAGGCAATAGTTTGGTTAAACAATTCTAAATTGATAAACAAAGCGTCTTATTTTGAGACTTGAGTATGGGTGCAATTGTGTTCAGTTGCTAGGCAACAGAACATCAGAACGTTTAGTGTTAGGTTTTGAAAAAACATACTTTTAGATTAATTAAAATAAAATCTAGCAGTATATAAGTCGGCTGTGGTGTACGTACAGCCTGAATAAACAAGTAGCACATTTGTTTCAGTTTTCGTATGTCTATGGCAATAGGGAGGTAGGAGAATATTACCATAATTTTATTATTATAACATTTTTTTTTATTAATGACCAGACCATATAAGGTCAAGTTCGCTTTTCAATTATCCTATTTGCAAATGTAACACACAGACCAGTCTTGCATAATTCATAATTACATCACACATGCGTACATACGCCATCTAGTACATAAAAAAGTTCATGTCAACACGTTTGCGATTCAGACTGTGATACTCTCACTATGCGTAATGAATTTTGATAAAGTCCTGGATTGTATTTACTCGTGGAACACTTTCGCTGCGGGCGTATTCTGTATCCATATGAGCCAGAATCGTCAATTAATATTGCTAGGTATAAGTAATATAAGTAAACGAAAAGATATAGCTAATGTGAATGGGTAAATCGTTACTAAAGCTTGGATTATTAGGAATTTTGGGTTGTTTGTTGATTTGTTGAAAAATCTTAAAACCATTATGCATATTGGGTAGACTTCAAAATCGATTTATGAATTTTGCAATATTATGGTAGCTTGATGTGCAGCCGTGTACCTACCTACGAGACTAAATATGTTTCATTTGTAGGTGTAATTATATTAGATGAGTCGGACACATTCAATGCAGGCCAGCAGCAGAGGGATCACGAGTGCGACTGCCTAGTTTCCTGCCATAGGATACGAGATTATTGCAATTTTATATCCATATTCCGTTACATTTCACTATTTTGACATCTACTTTAATAAAAAACGAACGAAATAAATAATGATGATTTTTATGGATTAACAGCAGTGTTACCAACTTACTCGATTATCTACAAAAAACACAAAAAAAGACATGTCAAAATAGTAACATTAAAGGATATATCGTCGCTAAGAAATCGTATCCTATGGTTAGAGAGTTTAGCGGTTGCACCGCTGACTGAGATGTTAATCGTTTTAAAATTGTTTGAGTATAACCCTCTAGCAATGCTTCCAAAACAGACATTTTAAATTTGTTTATTAAATGAGTAATGGACGTGAAATATCAATAATATATTGCTAATTTTGGTGTAGTATTTGTTTAGTTAGGTTTTGATATTAATTTATCATTTGGTTACTACTTTTTATGGGAATTTTATTGGTTTACTGATCTGTTTTATTGGTTGATAAAGTATGTTATTTAATACATAAGCAGGATACAGTTTACTTATTATTTTGGTTTTAATTCCATAATTTAATGGAATGTTCCATTTTACGTAAAATTTAAAGAAATTAATTGTGAATTACATCCAGTTCATCATGTCTTCCTCTTGCATCTTGTAATTATTAAATTTTTCATTTAATTTTATTTTTTCAAAATAAAGCAAGTATAGGCAATATGTAGTTAGTAGTAAGCAGTCCAGAAAACGGTATGTGCTTACGTTTCTGTATCGTTTGGTTCCGACAGAATAGGGCTCCTAGATTTTAAATTAGATGCTGCAACTATGCTTTATATCAAGTGTCTTTGAGTGCGGTGTCCAGTCGTCCATTAGCTGGTCTCACGAAATGGCAAGCAAAATGAAGGGCTTAGTACTGGTGAGTACTTTGTTCTGATAGTTTAGTATTTGCATTCATAAGTTTAAAGTAGGTAGACAATTAGAAATGTGATGAAATGTTGTGTTGTTTTGTATTGGATTAATAATATACATAGTTTTGGATGTATTTTATCCAGAAAAATGATTTATATAGTAATTAATAATTCAAGAGGACTTGGAAAAAGTGTATAAAGGTAAAAAAACTAGGATGTCCAGAGTTTTATCAGTGAGTGTGACAAATAGTGAAATACTTAGATCGAGTTTCGGCTATAGTGCGGTTCAAATATATTTGATAAATATATACTTTAGAAAAATAACGTAATAAGATATTTTATATTACAGCCACTGCAAGCGTTGAAATATGCAATATATTGGCGTATTCTTTCTTTTACTTTCGATACCAGTACCAGTATACGCGCAGATACTGATGTTGATACTGGTGTTAGGTGTTTGTGGGCGTTGTATGGAGAAAAGAGAGACTTTTCGAGGCGACACAAAGTTCGTCGTATTAGCTAGTTCCTAATAAAAAGGACATAAGAGAAATGATTTATAACGAACGTTCATAAATCGTTACAAGCCGAAGGAACATCAGAAAATGGAATTTAATTAGTTTTTAATCATTATTCGCTTATATAGTGCGTCTTGTTGCGTAGTTGCATGCAAATCTTATTTGCACAAACTTTTCAACGAACTATTAAAAACAATTAATAGAAAATTCATCAAAATAATTAAAGTGCAGTAAAATGTCTCAATATCATGCATTTTGCCGTACAATTAGTTAACAATTTTAGATGTAAATATTTCCATAGTTTTTGTGTTCAAATTGATGCTGCTCTAAAATAACTCTTAAATATTTCAGATCGTTTTTCTCTTTGCGTTTCACGTGACGACGGGAACGCTGGACATCGAGAAAATCAAGGGATTAAAATCGACTGCGGCTGAGAAACTTCAAACGTTAACAGCAAAAGCTGCGACTGGTCTCCAGCAACTGAAAGAGACCGCCTCTAATAGTCTCCATGAATTAGCTGAGACTGCATCTCATAACATACAACATTTAGGAGACGATATCGATTTAAATAATCTATACAAATTAGATGTACTACATGTAATACCTGCTGTAAAGTCTAAATATAAACTAATCAAAGATCTGTATAATAAACCTGAAACTAAAGTTAACGTTATACATATATACGGAGATGAGTTGAATTCTCACTTTGATCACGCTAAGCTTGTTAAAGTGAAAGAATGGCATCCAGCTTTACCTCATCATGTTCACGAGCCGCCTCATCACTTTCATCACTCTCCTCATCATCCTCCACACCACCATCACCATTTAGAACACTATCATTTACGTTACCCTGTAAAAGAGTATTAGGATAGTAATATTTTATTTTAGTTGATAGGTAGAATTTTTTGAGGGTAGTATTGCAGTCTTGATTCCAGAACATATAGAAATCTAAAAGGTTTGGTGGGTAGGTTTCTTAGTATGATATATTATTTACCTATTATGCTAATGTAATGCCAGAATAATTTAGGTAATATAGATTGTTGGCTGAATGACATTGGATCATTATGAATCGTACACTTGGACTTGTTTATGTGTGTGAAAGCTCGCTTTTACCAAAGTGCAACAGTATAGGTGATAGGAAGTAGTCGTGGTGGCCGCAAACCCGTGACATTAAATATTATACAAACAGCGTCGTTATATGTAACCTTTTTCTGAGTCGATTGCTTATGTAAATATAGGAACAGAAATAACGAAAACCAAATCCATAACATATCATAATTTGAATAAAACTGGGATATCTCTAGTTTCGTGAAATGTTTGGTGGTGTATGACCTACAATTTATTTGACTGCTTTTGTTGTGCTGATTATTTCGGATACTGTTACTGATTGAGTTATATAATTGATTTTTATACTTTTTTTTAATAAAAGTTGTATAAAGAGTTTGCGTTTTATTCATTACCTTTGTATAGTGCAGTGGTTAGTGAGACCGGGATTCAAAAATCAAGCATTTCAGTGTACTGAAAGACACGTTAAATCATTAGTTCTGTCTGTACGTATAGTCGTTAGGTAACCTACCAATATGCACTCAATTGGTCTTACAATTCACAGTAAATGATATGTGACATATCGACGCTTAAGAACTAAGACCATATATATATCTACAAAAAGTCGATTTTACAAGAGACGAGTTTAATAACTAGAGAAGCAATTTCATACAACAGACGCGCCAAAAAGCGTAGCACTTTTCCGAAATCAGGACGTAGCTTTGCAAATAATATTTATACTATATAATATAAATAGGTTTATTATATTTGTCTCTCTCATATCTACGATTAAACCTTAAATTAAACAAAGACAGAATATGTGCGAACGACAGAATGAACGGAAAAATGGGTAATTGATATTGTATTGCCAGCTCTCGAAAATTCACCCATTATGATGAATGAATGAATGAACAAATAATGTAGATATATGTATAAAATCAATTAGAAAAATACTGTATCTTTGAAAATTTATTTGAAAAAACTTTGAAAAAAAAAAACAATCACGAAAGTAGGCTCTGTGCATATAAGTCGTAAAGTCAGTTTAAGAGAAAAACATTTGTTAAAGTTAACAAAAGATCAAACAAAGGTTCAATTTTACGTATTTTCAAAAGTTGTATCTCGACAACTAACGAATTCCAGAAGAAAACGTTTCATATTTTTTCTACAAGTTTTTTATTTTCATATCTGATCATGTAATGGATTTAGTTTCAAGATTACTGTAGATAGTTAGTATTGGTTAAAATATTTGCGTGTGTTTAAACAGCTAACTGTAATATAGATGGTATTGGCAAACAAAATAATATAGATTAAAGACTTTAATCAAACAAAAAACTCTTAGTTTTATTAAATTTTCAAACGATTAATTACATGTTCTCTGTAGATAGGTGGTATTTCCATAATATTATTACGACACGAAACTTAGGTAGTATAGGTATTTTCTCATGACTCCTTATTTATTAATCATAGCATATTAATCACTTATCGAAAAGATCTCTCTTATTTCTAATATTGTAATGGAATGTGACTTCATATTCTAATGAGGTGGCATTTCAATAAGACTTTTCTCTGTGAAATAAAACGGAGAAAAATTCAGCCCTTGCTGAATTTCTTGTCGGTTCTTCTCAGTACAAGGTCTCCCGCCGTAGTTTTGCGAACCGATGGCGTAGTTTTCGACTTTCATAAGCGCTCTGTAAAAGCCTAAACTGAATAAATAATTTTGATTTCATTACGAATTTGAAGTAATCGATTAAAGGAAACGATGCGTAAATTAACCATGAAAAGAACTGCATTAAAAAATGAAAATCACCGAAAGTGTAGATAGATGGTCTTGGTTTTTAAGCTTCGATATACTGATTCCGTTTTTATTTTTAAGGTACAGAACCCTATGCGTTATGCACTATTAATCAAAGGCATACTCAAGTGATAAATAACGATTAAGTATCCACGATTTCGTGTCAGGTTATCATAATATGTTAAACTACAGTTGATTTCAAACTCTATCTTCACAACATTAAAGTTTCAAACCGAGTGGAGAAATTTGACAGATTTGTATAGCACGACCTGCAGCTGTTGACTGTACATAAATGTTTTTTTTTATGAACTGAGCACGTATCTTCAATGAAACTAATGGTGTTATGTATCTATTATATAATAATAAATAACCGATCGATGACTGTATATTGAAGATATATGAAAAAAACTGTTATGAGGGGCATTTATAAACGAAATTTACAACAGAAAACAATGATTTTTAAATTTTTTGTTTCTTTATCTGTGCATTTGTGCACGCTTATCTCAGAAACGGCTGGACCGATTTTAATCACTGTTGTATTATGGTAATCTTTTGTTAACATTTAGTCTAAGTTCTATTTCAATCAGTTCATAAATAAATATGTTATATTAATTTGAAGTACTGTCTTCGTCAAAATGAAATTAAAAGCTTTATGAAATTTTAGTCTCTGATTTATTGTTCATCATTGTCAGCTCTTTTACATCCCCATGCAGTGGGGTTTAGGAATTTATTTAATAATTTTTTGGGTCCATCCCGAGAACAACCCATGCGAAAATTGCTTAACGACAACAATCGCGGGCAGCGGCGCTTATCCAGTTCGCTACCAAGCTACGTATTATTATTGTCTGTAAAATTATAATTTATATGAATACAGGTAAATAAAAAAATAAGTTTGCAATATTTTGGATACTGCAATGTAAGTGAAATTCAATTATATATAATATGACTATTCATATTAAATAGGGTGATCCCTATTAAATGTGATTGATCATATATATTATAACCTGAAACTTATAATGGACATGCAGTATACGATTACGCGAGTAGAAGATCAAGCGTAAAGAGCGCTGCGCTGCTGCAAGTAGCTTACAGTGAACGCACGTATAAGGTTTTTGATAGTATATTCTTATCAGGTTAGGTTAACGTCTTCGAGGCTAGTGGAGGTGGTTTTCAGCCACCACTGCATTGCAGGGCCTCACCTGTCTGGGAGAGGCTCTCGATGGACCCGAGCCTCTACATCTGCGATGGTACCAACGGTCCAATACTTGAGTGCCTTGGTGACTCGGCTGCGGCTGGGTGGGTTCATGGAGAAAAGTCCTACTCACCCCGTGTTGCTTGCCGGGTAAGAGGAACAGCGCCAGAGGCATTTCTTCCACGTATGAAAAGTTAAGTTCACGTCTCAGCGGATACTTTCGCCAAAAAGGTACATAAATTGTAAGAATGTCTCGAAACAAGTTCAAACCTGCAAAACTGCTAAAAAGATGACATTCTTCAGAAGACCCTACAGCGAGACGAAGGAAATTCAGGACAGATTACGTTCTACAGAAACTTTGGTTCAGCATGAATCTAAACTGGGTTTACACCGTTCTTGAATGAGTGAAGACAACTCGAATTATATCAATTCCTCTTTATAGTTTTATGTTACTCTTTTTGTTTTTTTTTTTTTTTATTTAAATCGCTTTACTTTAAAGTTGGTATTTGCAGTCTACACTGATGATACAGGTTTATTCACCAGTCATGAGGTTCATGCAATATTACATGAGTCTGAGGGTTGGTGCAAAACTGACGGAGCTCAGTCAAGCACCTTATGGAAATATATGTTAGCACACGTTTATATATAAACATCAGATCATAATACAAATGGGAAACAACTGAGATGCCTTAAGGTTAACGTTTGAGACCTGTTTTCTTCCATTTATTTATTAACGACCAGGTGTTCTCCCGAGATGCGTAACTTATAGCCTATGTCACCCGCGTATGATGTAGCTTTCCAGATGAAGCTACAATTTTTTTTAATCAGTGCTGTAGTTTCGGGGCCTATTTGATGCAAATAGTTTTTTTCTCTTTATAATATAAGTATAGATATTTTTTGTTGTGTCAAATATATATTGCAGATCGCACAGCCAATGGTCTTTGTAATTAATACCTAGTTATTTGCACTCTACCAATATTTACCTTTTGTTGGTTGGTTAAATAAAATAAGTAATCCCTGTTGCAAAATATTTCATATTAGCTGTGTCCCGTGACTCCGCATAACTCACGTATTAGTAGTCGTAAATTATAGCGTTTGTCACCCGCCTATGATATAAGCTTCCCGTGAGGGAAAGAACTTTCGTGATCGGATTAGTATTTCCGAAGATTATCCCTTACAAAGTTATAAATTTTAACTCTTGTGACAAAACTTAAGTAGGTATTTAAACTTGACCGGTACATTACAACCTAGGAGTTTCTGGTTTTCCAACATTGAAGAGGCAATGGGTACAAGGAAAAATACGGTGATAATGTTAATCATGTGTCTAGACACCTCACTTGCTGAGTAAAAACCGATGGAGACAGATTTATATTGGGCTGCTAATGTAAATATAATAAATTGTTAAGCTTAATAATATTTTCAAAGTTTATCGCTATGAAATCTTTCATATTTGTGTTATTTGTGATCTCAGGAAAAGTTATTAATGGAGGTGAGTTATAAAAACTTAACGATTATGATCTTGATGTCATCTGTACAATTATGCACATTCCGCTGTCCGGGAATTTTGACCTTTTGGTAACCATCTGTATTATGAACGCTTTGGAATGTAAAATTATCAATATCTTTTGTAAACTTAAATACCAGTATTGAAATGTTTTAATCGAATATTTCCAACTCACTTAATCCATGACAATATGTAATGCCAATTTCAAACCATTTGTCATAATATCGAGTAAGTATCGCTTAGGTATTTATTCCGGTGCACAAATAAATAGACATAAATCATTTTATAATAATTACAATAAATTAAATAAAACATAATTAAAAAAAAAAGAAAAA